CTATAGGACGACTCTGAACGCCCTCAGCTTGGTTACGCTCGAGTGCCACGAGCCGTTCCGTTAGCACCTGGTTCTGGGCTGTTAACCGATTCATCAGCTCCATCATCTGGGCCATGGCATCCTAGTTGGCCTTCGGCGAGCCTCCTTGCCTTGGTGAGCCCTTTCCTCCCACGACGGCCGATCGTTTGGCGACCGCTTTAATCGTTGGCCTGATTGCTGCCTCCTTCCATCCGTCCTCTCTAAGCATTTGTGTAATTTCGCGCAGGATCTCTTCATCTGATACTCCTGCCTGGTTCTTGGCAGCAGCGTACGCCGCCAGCTCTTCCACATTCAAGTTTGGAACGTTAATCTCTATTGCCTAATTCGTTTTGGACGTCTCGTTCTTTGCCTGCTAATATGCAGGGCTTCTGGTCGCTCTTCGATCCGCTCGCGCAGTCCTTGACTGCGGCCTACTCCTCGTTGGTGAGGACTAGTAGGGCTTACCTTCGGCCGTACTTCTCTTCTAGCTAGTTCTAAACAGCGTTTGGCTACTGTTGTGTCGCGTCCCTAGGAAGACTCGCGTCTTGCCATCTCGCTTGTGGGATCTTGTCTCTGATTGAGAGTAATCGCACGGCCTGCACCCCGTCTGATAGAGGATCGATAGGACTTCTTACTACAACGTCCGCTTCTAGCTAACTGTACGCTAGGCCCGAGTGGCCTTTAGGTAGTTTATCACGCGACGTTGCGCCTACGGCTCGGCTTTCTAAGACATGGTAGGACTTCCTAGACAGGTCCTGGGCGACTAAATTGCCTACTGTCTCTCACGGCTGAACTTCCTGCGAAGCTCTGCCCTAGGTGTACTGTCTTGCGATGGTCTACCTTCTCGCTGCACTGAAGGCCTTTCGTACCTATTGCAGCACCAACTCCGTGTTACTAGCTCGCACTAACAACACGCTCTAAAACTTAGTTAGAAGACAGTCCGCCTAAGGCTTATGTCTAATTGGGATTAAATACAAAATGTAAGGGGCTGCGCTCTAGGGAGCAATCGCGAGGTATACAAGAGGTTGTATTCAATAAGGAGCTATCTACTCTGCTTACGTGGTGTTTATTTACTTATCGGAGAAAGGTTATGCCGGAGTATCTGAGCGCGTTGTCTGAGCGCTGCTCGGTCTGAACGTAGTTCAGATGGTGCGCGCGCAGCTTGGCCCGAGATTCCATCGAGGAGCTATCCAAAGGGCGTTCAGCCCGTTACATGTAGGACGCTATAGGCGGCAGCAGCGCGTCGTTTACTCTAAATTTGTTTAGAATTAAGATTAGTAATAGTAAGAAATAGATCTGCTTTAGTTTAAGTTTTTAACGCGTTACGTTGTTAAGACATTACGCGTTGTTGTTGCAAAGGTAGGATATCATAGGGAAGTGGCCCACATACTGGGGTGGCCCGCTTACTGGTGAAACACGTTATCGTATGTAAATGTACACACTCTATGCATTCATATCAAACTCACACGGTGCGGACATTGCAAAGTTACTTGGTATACATACGGTATTTGTACAAGGTAACCAAATTACAACCATGTAGCCTGCTTAGGCGCGAGGCTGACTTTCCGTAGGCATGTTGCTTGAATGAACGAGCGCCGCCCACGCATCACCCGTAGCCTTCTTCTCGTGCCTTGAGCCCTGGTAGATTTCACTCAAACTGGCCTCAGTCGTGATTTGCTTGCGAAAGTCCTCCAACACCGACTCGACGTAGTCGTCTTTGCCCCCAGCGGCCCTGGCCTTGATGGCCTTGTCTGCCTTTTGAATGGCAGTCTCGAGGAATGACCGCCGTTCAGCGTCGAGAGCCTCGTTGGTCGAGGCTGTCTCTGCTTCTGCAATGAGGCTGGCATACTCTGCCTTCTTGGCGTCGTTGAAAGCTTCTCTGCCCCCGGCTTCTTCGATTCGAGCAGCAAATGCAGCGCTCTTTTCGCCCTGAGTGGCTGCTTTCCAAGCTTCTAGGCCGCCAGCCTCGTCAATCTCCTTTCGCTTTCGCTGGTTGTAAGCGATTCTTCTCGTAGTATGGTCCTTGATGTTGGGCAGGTTGAAGCGATTTCGGACTTCCTGAAGCTCCTGGACAGTGATGCCTGCTTCTTGGTATCTCTTGTCGAGCTTTTGCCTGAGGAGAACGGCCGCCTGTGCGCGCTCGGTGGCCCGAACAAAGGCCAGTTTCAGGCCCTCCTCCACGCTGTCCACGACACCTCGCTTGAAATAACGTTCTGCAGCATGGACGGCTTTGATGTATTCCTGGGCAGCCTTGACCGCTGTTCTCTTCTCACTTTTAGAGGGTGCCGCCTCATCAGCGATGCTCTTGGGCGTGTCAGCTTCGTCTGGCGCCCACATCTGTTGCCCCTCGCTTTCAGCAAACTCTGCGTTTTCAAGCCCCTCGGCGTGCATTTCCTGTGCAAGTGCGCCCTCGGCTGCCTTGCGCTCAGACATCATCTGAGGAGTCGGCCATTGTTTGTCAATGGTAGCCTGGTCTATCCCCAGAGCAGCAGCATCGGCTCGCAGTCGCTCAATAATCTCAGGCCTCTGCATCAAAGTCCATCGCAGTGCCCATCCCATAGGTCCAAGTTCTTTGATGCGTGCCACGCTGTCCTTGAGCAGGTACTCGTCCAGACCACCTTCACGATCCATGACCTTGAGCACCTTGGCTGTAACGCGCAGCTTTATCCTCTTCTTCAAGGCCACCGAGTACAGACTCTTAGAAAGAACATTCGGCTTCCAATTCCGCCGGGTCTTGGTCTCGGTGTCCTTGGAGACATTGTTGCCGAACCGTATCATCTGCTCGCCATAGAGGCCCTTGTTTGATTGCTTGAACAGCTGGCGGTCGCCGTATGGGTATGCCGGAATGAATGCATCTTTTGGAATGACATTTTTGGGAAGGTGGGAGCCGAGATCACCGCCGCGTCGTCGCTTCAGAGGGTTCTTTACTATTGGCGGGGGTGTAGTGGTCGCATACGTCCGCTGCGCAAACTGAGCACAGCGGACGACGGCTCCTGGGGCCGGTGCTCGTCCGGTGAGCAATTGGCACCGGGCATGCATGGTATGTTGAGCGGGAGGCAGCGTTGGTGCCCGTCGTGATGGATGATGGAGGTGCTCGGTAGTCCGCAAATTCGAGACGCCCGCCGCACGGACCCCAACTCTACATCTAGCCCTACAATGGTGGGCGGTCGCAACGACGACGACTACACGACACTCGCGTTTTGCCCAATTCCAACCCTTTCCTTTCCTCGCAGCGGAGTTGAATTCACATAAATCCGATTCGCGCCGGCTCGATTCTCCGTCTTGGAAACGACCATGGCAAACATGACAGAAAGCACTCAGCCGTCCACGGCCAACATAGCCGCTGCATGCGCCATTCTGGCTGGTGTAACGGGCTACATGCTGGGGCAGGCAAAATCTCTAGGATTCTTCGGTGGCAGCCCCATCTCTCAGCCAGCGCGATCAGAAAAGTCCAAGGCCAACGAGTCGGAAGACGAGTCGAGCGACGAAGAAGACGGCAGCACCCCTGCCGAGTTCCCAGGCCAGGAGGAATGCAAAATGGTCTTGGTAGTACGAACAGATCTGGGCATGACAAAAGGTATTGGTGGCCCTTTACCGCATAGAGGAACTCTTAATTAACCTTGGCACAGGCAAGATTGGTGCACAGTGTGGACACGCGACACTGGCATGCTACAAGCACTTCCTCCGGACGGCACCAGACTCCCAAATACTGAAGCGTTGGGAAATAAAGGGCCAAGCGAAGGTTGCGTTGCAAGTCAAGAGCGAAGAAGAGCTAGAGCTGTTGCAGGCGCAAGCACTGAGCCTGGGGCTTGTAGCACACATTATTCATGATGCGGGACGGACACAGATTGCGAGTGGAAGTGCGACTGTGCTAGGCATTGGTCCGGCGCCAAAGAGCGTCATCGATCAGGTCACCGGCAATCTTAAGCTGTTGTAAACATTTTGTCATGAAGACCATAGACTACGGTTTACAGATGTTGTGAAACGGACTTGGGGACAGCTGCTGTCTAGGCAAAGAAAAAGTCCTGTCAAGGTTACACGCACAGCCGTATGGAGTAATCGTGTGCCTGGCATTCCGCTTTTCGTCGGAGACGAGGATAACGACGAGGCTGGTTCCTGAGTGACGGGTGCTATGCAGGCGAACCTGTGAGTAGCCGTCAGGTGGGCGCTGGCTGCTCAACAAATGCCGGCCGCCAGGTCAGCGTCACGTACGGGATTCCGTGCCCCTGGACGGAATCTACTGATCTTATGGGAGGTTGCACAACGCCGAAATCGTACCAGTGATGAGACAGGCGTATAGAACGTATCCCATGTAGAAGGTCGAGAAGCCTATATGGCGGCAATGTACATTTGCTTCACAGCATGCGCAACAGCAGGTGACGTGCATACACAATACGAGTGCTTTGGTAATGGTCAAACACAAAACGATGAGAGGCTGCAGGCGATAAGCGAGCATGAGACCATGGTGCGTGAAGGAAATCGCTTTCACGTGCACATTGACATGTGTACCACGGCCGATTTTCCCGAAATGTAGCATTGTTTTCAAGTGTCGATAGGCTGCTCGTCCTCGACAGAGTGGGACCACGGGTCGCGCTGCATCAAGGGAGGAACCGGGCAAAGCGAGTGCTAGTGTCATGTCATTGCTCTCTATGTGGGCGGAAAGCGCACCACGTCATGCAACAGCCGCGCCTCTCCACCAGCTCGAAGCGCCCAATACGAATACTACCACCATGGCATCGCTGACAACGGTGCTGTATATGACGCTGTACCTGCCCACGGTCCTGACATAGCCTGCATATGGCTCGGGCAGCGCACCCGCCACGGTGCTGAGTATGCCGCTTCCCTGCAACTGGCCTTTCTCGATGTAGTAGCGCGACGTCTGGAGGACGACCTCGAAGGTGGCGAAGAGATAGAAGAAGTGCGCAAAATTCTGTGCAGGAGAGGACTCGGTGGCCCAGTCATCGTCGGCCACATTGTCGCGGGACAGCTTGGACCCGGTGAATGGCGTCTGTAGAACGATGTATATAGCAAGGCCGAGGGAGAAGATGGAGTGCACCAGGCGCCAAATCCAAGCCGACGACTGGTCGGGTGAGGGCTCAGCAGCACCTCCTCCGCCCTGCATGGCCGAAAACATGTTGGCGAGCCCTGGCGGCATACCAGTACAGGGCGTTAACGCTCGACGGTGAGTTCATGGTTACATAGTTGATCATGTCCAGGCTAGCACCAAGGTCGCACATGTGCATGCGCATGCACATACACGCTAGCGGCAGCCTGCCGAAGTGCCGCCGGCGCCCTGTCACGGCGGCGGGCGGCGGGCGGTCGGCTTCTTCTGCCAAGCCAATGACCTCAGCCCCTCCTCGCCATCACCAACACCAAGACTCGCACGCTTCCCATCTCGCACCGCAACCCCATGGCTGACTCGCCCGCCGCTGCAACAGGTGCTCTTCCTGGAGAGTCGCCCGCCCAGGCAAAGGCTCGGCTGCGCAGAGAGCGTCTCGCGGCCAAGAGCGGCGCGTCCCGCCTGCAGCAGATTACCGCTCTGCAGGGTGGCCCGCCAAAGGACCTCAGCGAAATTGAAAAGGATGTGCCAGGTACTTACAAGCTGCCCCTTCGGCGCTCCGCTGCGTCCGCGGAAACGTCCCCCTCTGCAGCCCGACTGCGACTCCATGGAGAGACGGCTAACCGCATTCCAGTCAAGCCCTCGCCTGCCACGCCCACGCCCACGCTCTCTCGCACGGCGACTCCAGATCCAGACGAGATGGACATCTCGCAACACCATTATGTGCCCGCCTCGCACCCCCGACTCCCCTCGCCCCTCGCCTTCGACCCCAACCGGGCAAGCCCCTTTGGCCCGCCGCCCGCCTCAGACGCTCCGCAGGATCCTTCGCAGGACCCCATGATGGCAATGCTCCAGCAAATGATGGGCGCCAGTGCTGGCGGTATGCCTGGCATGCCCGGCGGCCCTGGCCAGGCCACCCGCTTGCTTGCACCTCCACCCGCGAACCGCCTGCCTCCCACGCCGACGCGCGAGACAGAGACAGAGACAAAGAGAGAGAGACGCTTTCACTTTGGCCTGGCCCGGCCTGGCCTTGCCGCCGTCGTACGCGCGGCACGGCCCGTATCACGTACTCACTGCGCCCACATCACACGTCGGCACCCCCAGCACATCGACCAACCACCGTTGCCTGGCCATGATGCCACGAGGCCACCACGCCCTCGTTTTCTTTTTCCTCGCCGCAGAATCGCCTGCTCGTTCCATGTCGTGACGGGACCGTGGTCCGGCACACGTCCGTTGGCGCATATTCGTATTAGTGATCCGTGTCAATTATAACCCAGGGAGTGGTCGCATGCAGTACTACCCCCCTCATCTGCATACACCCCTGGCCATCTGGCGTCCTCCCGGCGGGGGCTTGACCCAGCACTCGGGGATTTGGAATCAGTGGCGGATTGCCTTTTGCGTTTGGCTCAATTCCACCTGCCATAGGACCTGGGCCGCCTGTATTTGCTCCGCCAACTCTCCGGTGGCGTTTGATCATCCAAGCCACACCATAATCATCCTCTCACATTTTCCACCTACGACGCCGCCGCCGCCTCTTGCGCCCAGCCCTTCCAGCACGGCGGTACCGCGGGAGAGAAGCCGGTTGGCGTTATTCCACGATCCTTCGGATACTAACTTTGTGTTCCATTCCTGTCCTCTTCAGCTCCACATTGATGCTTCACCCCCTATGTTTGCGACCAGCATGTTTACTTCTTGTCGACTCTAGGCCTATCACATGCCACCAGCGCTTAACCACGCCTCCAAAAAGCCTTCGATGCGGCTTGTCAAAGTGGTGCGTCAATACAGCCGTTTGACGGACATCATCACTTACGTCTTCTTACATCATCGCAGAATCACCGTGACATTGGTCCTGCCTCACGCTGTGTTTGCGTGGGCAACACCTAGCACCCTCGATAGGCCCACTCACGCCAGCAATCCAGCTGCAATAGTACACGTCGTATTCGTTGTATCCACTCTGAATAATGGAGCGGTCGACATCTGATATCTCACACCCGGTTGCACGGCATGATCAAAACTAGACAAACGGCAATTCCCCTTCAAAAACAAATTTCTCGTTGCTTGTACTTCCCTGACTATATTCTATTTAACTTGTTCACCGCACATGGATTCCGCATTCTAGACATTTCCTTCCTTTGTTACCTGCAAACATGCTCGCTCCCACCCTCAAGTCCAAGATCCAGTCCCTACGGCCCAACACCTTTCGCCTAGTGCCATCACCACAGCTATACCGCACCCAGTCAACCCTTACCAACAACACACCCTACTGGAACCACATTCCTTCATGGCAGGATATTTCCCACGATGAGTTTGTGTCCTACCGGTGGCAGGTATGTTGACGTGCCCCTATACTCTTGTTCTGGATAACCAACTCTTTCTTGTAGCTGAAAAACACTGTCTCGGACAAGCATAAACTCTTCCAATTTCTCAACCAAGCTTTGCCCGATAAAATCGGCCCCACCAATAACGAGCAACTGCAGAAAATTCGGACCAAAGACAACTTCATCGAAGATGCTGTATGTGGTAGCCACTCAGGCGGTCTGGAAGTGCTCACCAATGCTGACCTTACGTAGGTTGCTGCTATCAAATTGGCGCCAATGGCTATTCGCCTAACGCCACATGTCCTCTCTCTGGTCGATTGGAACAACCCACTTGACGACCCCATTCGGAGGCAGTTCCTCCCCCTCAGAAGCGGCATCATTCCAGACCACAAGCACTTGGAGCTGGATTCTTTGCACGAGGAACAAGACAGCCCGGTTCCTGGACTCGTTCATCGGTATCCTGGACGAGCATTGTTCTTAGCAACATCCATCTGCCCCGTCTACTGTCGCTTTTGCACCCGGTCATACGCAGTCGGCGGAAATACTGAAACTGTATCGAAGAAGCCGCAAAAACCCAGTCGTACGCGATGGGAGGTCGTATTTGAGCACATTGCCAATGATGAATCTCTTGAGGATATTGTGGTTTCAGGCGGCGATGCCTATTTCCTGCAGCCGGACCACATCCGAGAGATTGGCAACAGGTTGCTCGATATACCCCACATCAAGCGTGTTCGATTTGCTTCCAAAGGACTAGCCGTTGCGCCCGGCCGTATCCTGGATACTTCAGATCCTTGGACGGATAGCTTGATTGCTGTCTCCAACAAAGGCCGAGAGTAAGATTTTGTCCACCCGCTCCCACAGTCAGTTTAGCTAACTAGATTTTTTAAACTCATAGCATGGGAAAGCAAGTCTGCCTGCATACTCACATCAACCATGCCAACGAGATTACGTGGATAACCCGACTCGCTGCAAACAAACTGTTCAAGCACGGTGTCATTGTACGCAATCAGTCTGTCCTACTTAAGGGCGTCAATAACAACTTTGCCGCGCTTTCCAGCCTCATCAAGGGACTTTCTGATATCAACATACAACCGTACTATGTCTACCAATGCGACATGGTCCAAGGTATCGAGGATCTTCGAACGCCTCTCCAGGAAATCATCGACCTCGACAAACAACTGCGTGGGACCCTCTCCGGCTTCATGATGCCTTCTTTCGTCGTCGACCTTCCTGGCGGAGGTGGCAAACGCCTCGTCTCCACCTACGAGACCTACGACCAAGGCATCGCCACATACCGAGCCCCTGGCCTCCCTGGCACCAAGGGCGAAATGACATACACCTACCACGACCCAAAGCCCGTCAAAACAGCCGTGCTAGAAGAGTTCCAGCAACGCCAACAACAAGCTCTCGAGCGCGGCGAAACACTAGAAGAATTCTTCGCCCAGCCCGCTGCCCGCATGCCTCTTCCACCCCGGCCCAGCCCCTCAAGGCCGCCGCAGCAGGACTCTCCACGTCCACAGCCCGTATCCACAGACATGCCCCCGGAATTATGGGCTCCGACCCCAGAATCCACATATGCGACGTATTCTCGTGGAATGTGAAGTTTTCTTCATCCCACCTACTAAAAACAACAACAACAACAACAACAACAACAACGAAAACGCTGAACAAAAGGCGATACATAAAACACATACATCCTACCAACTACCAAGTCAAATGTACTGCTCCCCATCCCCTCATTCCCGCCAACAAAAAAAAGAAATCCCTTCAGCAGCCCAAAATGACATGTATACAACGACGAGACGGCAGATCTTTCCAAGCTCAGCATCAGCAACATCCCAATCCCGGATGAAACCCCCCTTCAGTCACTCCACCACAAAAGAATCTGCTTCTTCTCCCCCTCTATTTTTATTGTGCTTGCTTGCTTGCTTGCTTCATCCTTCTTCTCACCAATACACAATAACTCGTGTATATAGACTATTCCAACACCACTGTCCCTCATAATCCCCCTTCTTCAACAAAACAATCTGTCCCTTCTTTTCTCCACCACACGCCTTCTCTTCTCTTCTCTAGTTGAACTACATTCATGTTCCCTTCTCATCAACGAGGGAATATGTGGTATACGGTGTTTGCTCCCTCCTGGAAGCCCACGCTCAAGCCCAGCTCTCCCTCCAAAACCCCCCCCTACGGGCTATTTTGGGTCTTTTTTTTCTGGGCTGGACTGGGGCATTGTTATATGCTTGCGATTGGTATGGGTGTGGCTGTGGGTAATGGAATAGGATGGTCATGTACTGCTGCTTGCTTGCTGCTGGTGCTGCTTTAGTCGCCTGGTAGTGGTCCATCAAAAGTGTGTATGTGTATAGATAAAACATGCATGATTCATTTTTCAATAGCTGCGTTTGTACGTACGTGAGTCTTTATGATAACTTCGTTATGTGTTAAGCGGATGTGTTAGTGTAGAGACGGGAAAAAGTCTAAGTCGTCGTAGCAGGAGAAGGCACATGGATGTCAGGCAGGCCGCACAACGTGCCTTCAGGCAAAACACTCACTTCACAGACAAATCAAGGGGTCAGGTTGGTGAAAGAAGTCATAACGTCTTGAATTCCCATAGCAAAGGCAAAAACAAACGCTAAACATGGCTTTCCTCCTCCCCATCCCAAGCTCAACAGGTGCAAGCATACGTATGCGCACCTCCAACCAAAACAGCCGTGTAGATCGTCTTGACTGAATCTTTCCCAACATTTGCGACCAAAAAACACGTTTTGCCCCCCTCCTCGCTCCCCACTCGCCACTGCGTTCCCGTTTGGACAGCTTCCCCCCCTACTTGGCTTTGCCTCCGCGCGCGCGCTCCATTGTCCATCCGTATTGTACAAGAGCAGATTATGTGACCCAGACTCAGCATCCGAGTAAATCAGGGAAGCAAACAGAGAGAGAGAGAGAAAAAAAAAAGAAAAAGGACGAAGAGATAAAACAACCAACAACGACGACAATATAGGGCCATAGGGGTGTGTAACGAAACACAAAATGCAAACAGATATGCCCAATACGCCGGAATAGCGGAGACTAAGTAAAGCGTGCAGGAAAAGCAGCCACCCAGAGCGGGAAATGGGGTAATATCGAGGAGATCTAACGCCGGAGAGGATTAATCACGAGCAAAAAGCAACGCCTCGCTATACAGGATGTAAAGAGATGAGAAAATGTGGTGGAGCAAATGGACGCCGCGACCAAGCAATGCAAAAGCCCAAGGGAAGGCAGGGGGACCAAAAGTGGCTAGTTACCTGCCTTCATTCTCTTGTTACCTCCAACTCGTGGGCTTTGCTTGACTTTTGACGCACCATTCATTTCTCCACCATCATCCATTTCCATCTTTGCTGTACTTCGCCGCCGCTTGTTGTTCATGTTCGGCGAGGTGTTGACGCTCATCGTGTGCGAGCTCGTGCTTTGCTGCTTCATCATAGGCTGCGAATGAGGTGACGGCGTGTGGCTGAAGTGAGGCGAACCATTTGATCCGTTAGGGAGCAGTGAGTTTTGCATTGCAGGCGACATGAACATCTGCCCCGGTTGACCAGGCCCAGAAGGGCGTGCACCAGTTGTCATATTAGCCTGCATGCCTTGGGCAGACTGTTGTCCTTGGTTTTGGCCTTGTGGACCTTGAAGAGCAGCCTGGTTGTTGGACATGGTTGCATTCCAAGACTCGAGAGCCTCGCTTGGCTTCATGTGGGGGTTCTCGAGATAGTGCGCCATGAGACTGGTCATGTGGTTCATCGGTTCGTAAATCTAGTCTGGTCAGTCTCAATCCCGACGGAAGCAATTTCACGCAAATTCTTACCTCGAGATAATTCTGTAAGCCATGTGGTAAGCCGTAGTCTGTGGCACCAGCGCTAATCAGCTTGTTCAACGGCAGGTACGGCTCAGGTGGTTCTTGTCCGCCTCGCTGCAACGCTTGTTTCTTGTTCTTCATCCTCGGAGACTGGTTGGGGTTCATTTGGGTAGGAGATGGCTGGACAAACATCTGCCTCAAGGCATTGAGCGGCAAGAACTGTTCATGGCCAGAGCCATCGAACATGAGCCACTCCATCTTGTCTGACCCAGACCAAAAGGCTGTGAGCTTGCCGTGATAGACGACTTGGCACGAGTTTTTGTACGTGTAGATCAACTTGGCTCGGTCACACGTAACCTTCAGCTCGTTAGGCCCAACCTTCTCGTTGGCTCCATCCAGGGTGATCTGTAGGTTCGTAACGTCGGTGTTGAAAAGCGTATAGAAGTACCGTGGTAGTGCAGCGTAGACAATCTCGAACTGCTTGGACCTCTCTGCACTCGACGAGCAGACGACATGAATAAACGATCCAGTTTCCATGAAGAATTTGTCCACAAAAGCCTGCCACCTCTCCACGTTGTTGTTCTTGCGGTTATCTTCAGAGGAGACATCGAATCTCCCTATTTGATCCGTGAAGTTCAGCAGTTTCAATGTACCTTGGCCAATAGCTTGCTTGTTCTGGTGCATCATCGCCAAGTTGCGAGCGTGATTCTGCTGTGCGGTTGCTTGGGCTTGGGCCTGTGCTTGGGCCTGTTGCATCAAGGCTGGATTCCGTGCTTGCATCTGGGCTTGGTTTGAAGCTTGCTGATTTGATTGCTGGGGCAGACTGGGTGGCTGAGCAGGAGCGGGAGTCTGCTGTTGCGGTGCAGGGCCTGACTGTGACTGTTGCTGTTGAGCCGATTGTTGCTGTTGCTGCTGCTGAGCCTGTTGTTGGGCCTGCTGCTGTGCTTGCTGTTGCTGTTGCTGTTGTTGTTGCTGCGCTTGTTGTTGCTGTTGCTGTTGCTGCTGTTGGGCCTGCTGCTGTTGGGCTTGTTGTTGTTGCTGAGCCTGTTGCTGTTGAGCCTGCTGTTGCTGCTGTTGCTGCTGCTGTTGCTGCTGCTGTTGTTGCTGGGCCTGTTGCTGGGCCTGTTGTTGCTGTTGCTGAGCCTGTTGAGCCTGTTGTTGTTGCTGGTGTTGCTGTTGCTGTTGCAGCTGTTGCGGCGGTGGCTGTGGCTGCTGTTGAGGTGTGGGTTGGGGAGCTGGCGAAGATTGTCCTTGGTGACTCCCTATGGCTGAAGGGGGACGAAGAGGGCCTTGCTGAGGCTGCGAGGTCTGCTGAGGCCCTTGGTTTCCTGCCTGGCTGTGGTTACTGGATTGCGATTGAGCATGTTGCATGGCGATTGCTTGCTGCTGCTGCATCTGTTGATGCTGCTGTGCTTGTTGATGTGCTTGTGCCATGGCAGCCTGGTGCTGTGGTCCTCCTGGCTGTCCCATCTGCTGCTGTTGTTGGAGCAGATGAGGTGGGAGATTGACAAAAGGGCCTTGGCCCAACTGTCCATTTCGCATTGCCTGCAGCTGTTGTGCTTGCGCCGGGTTCATGTTCGCCATGGGGTTCTGGAATCCCATACCCATGTTACCTTGTTGGTGGGCAAGCATTGCCTGCTGCTGTTGGCGATGCATGAATGCTTGCTGGGCAGTTCTCTGCTGCTGCATAAGCGCAGGGTTCACTGCGGCTCTTGTCAGCCAACGCTCTGTGTGTGTTCGCATGGGCGGAGAATACTCACTCATCTGGTGCTGTTGCTGTTGCTGCTGCTGCTGTTGCTGCTGCTGGGGAAACATGTGGGCTTGCTGGGGCTGCAGGTGTGAGAGGGCATGGGCATTGGGGCCTCCCATGCCGCCCGGTTGCATGCCACCCATCATAGGTCCTGCTTGACTGACGGGGCCATTGGGACCGGAGACGTGCTGCATGCCTGGCGGCATTCCGGGCTGTCCTGGATTTGGGCCTGGGCCTCCCATGCCCGGATGCGCGTGAGGCATGCCCTGTGGGTGCATGCCACCATTGTGCGGGTAGCTCGTGGTCATCATCTTTGGGCGTCTTCAGGCGTGGGCCGCGGCGTTGCAGTCGCGGGCAGAGATGTGGAGAGATGCGGGACGCGCCGTGGCACGCTCTGGAGGCACGTTTGCAATGTAAGAAAAGAGTGGAGGAGGCGGGCTTGGATGGGCCGGGGCGTGGGTGCTAGCAGTGCTCGCGGACCATGCGTGGGCGGGAGGTCGCGTCACGGGGTGGAGGGGGGACGTGATGCTGCAGCGATGGCGGGCGGGCGGGAGGTGCTGTCACGCAGAGGCGAATATAATGGACGTGTGCCGAGAGGTGGCAGGGTGATGAGATGGCCGCGCCGAAGTCGCGATGGGCGTTCGCGAGGGCGCTGAGGCGGTGGTGGGCGGGTCGCGGGGGTGCTGGGACGGGGGCGGTGGCGGCAGGTGTGGGCGCGCAAGGTGCAGCGCGATACTCACGAGTGCGGGGCGGTGGTGTTGAGGCGTGCTGCCAGGGCTGGCGCGGTGTCGTGTCGGGCGGTATCGTGTCGCATCCGTCCCGCCAGCAGAGCGGTGGAGTAGGGACACGCGGGCGGCGGTGCTAGGGCTGCAATGGGCGGTGCAGCAGGAGTGACTATGGACGAGATGGTATGCGACGATGCATCTGGAGCGGGCTTGGATCCAGGGCCAGGGACGGTGCCAGGAACGCGGGCGTCGAGTGGTGGAGTTCTGGTGTGGTGAGAGGTGATGGGCGCATGGCCTCGCCGAAGATCAGCGCTGGTTAGGGGGCCGTTTCGGTATCGCGCGAAAAGCTGCGTGGCTGGGCACCCAATCTATCCGGCCGCCGGTGCACGCAGTCCTCAGCGAGCGGGCGTGAGCACCGCAACCGCGACATTAGCCCTCGCCCTCGCCCTGCCCTCGCCCTCGCCCTCGCGCCCAACGCCGTCGGCTGCCCGTCCTGCCTGGTGCTGACACGCTGCCGGCGATGCGCTGGACGAGCTTCGCATGCCCCGGCCGCCGCCCTGGTGCCCTCGACTGCGTCTGATGACGAGGGCAAAGAATAATCCCGCTTGCCGCTTTGGGGCGCCCGCACGTGATGCCGCTGCGCCTTGGCGCGCTAGTCGCCCGTCGTACTTTTCTCTGCTCGCACTCGCGACCTCCGTCTTTCCTCGCCTGCAAATTCGCATCCAACCTCGCACCACACTGCCGCGCACGCATGGCGCGCCCGCGCAGGCGTGCCCTCGCTGGCTCCGGGCTGCTGCGTGCTGGCTCGCGATGCCCCCCGAGCCAGCTCTGTGCACTGGGTAAGTTGATCCCTTTTTCGTTGCTTTTCTGGAATGATTATAGCCTCAGCACCTTCTTTTCCTTGCCGATTCGACCTTGAAGAAACCGGAGCTGTCCGGGTGCCTTCGCAAGGCGCCTGCTACTTGCCAGTACTGTCGTCTGACCCCACTCGATAAACTCGACCAAGTTGGCTCTGTCTTGCCGTCAGATTGCTAACATTGCTCAAGCTTGCATCTAGCTTTGATTACCCCGACCCATGTCCGCCCCTGGTGCTTATCGCCCAACAGCAGCTCCTATAACCAGGCACATGGTGCGACACTGCCTGCCCTCTGCCCGGCTGCACACAGGGAAATGGAACCGCGCGCATTGCCGTGTCGTGTGCTGTTGCGCGTCGGGCTGCGAGTTGGCTTCATCGGCCCCAGCCGCAATCGCCATAGGTTAGTCAGCCCTTTTCTTTGCAGCACCCTCGCCCGCCCTCCGATGATGAAACATTTCCACATTCGCAGTTTCCACGCTAGCCATCAATTGAACCTACAACCGATGGACAATGAGCGCGAATACCTTCCTTGGATGTCTGATCCCTCCACAAACTTTGTCTAGCAATTGCCTCTACTTTTGTTGTCCAAGTGCTGACGACTATAGACAGATGTTGCATTATCGTGCTTATCTCAGAGTATTGCTTGACTGGAATGGTCATGTCAGATTTGTACATGGTGCCCCGCTGCGGTGCTGGCAGAGCTGGGACAAGGCGACAGAGTAGATAGATGTGAAATAGCATACAGTTTCTGCATTGTGGCAAATTCCTCGAGACTCGCCCATGCACGCGACGTTCACTTTGGCCTGCTCCTGTGCATGCAGCGAGAGGTTCACCCGCGATTATATGTATGGAGGCGCTAAACCAGACGTGCAGCCGGGCGAGAGGCTGCAACCCCCCATGCTTGGTGACCTGAAGCCCAAGGTACGGTTAGGTACCCAAGCTGAATGTCTATTCTTTTTTCTTATCCCCCATCCGCCTGTCACCGTGCATAGTTAGGACAAACACCCATCTGGTGCCTGGCAAAGAAATCGCAGTTTGTGTCCTGTCACGGGCTGGCAACATGTTTCGGCAACTGTCTTGCAGCCATGGTGAAGTGCCAAGCACTGCCTGCCTTCGCGGCGTCATCTGTCGCATAACGCTAGAGCTTGCTGGTCAGAGCTTCCAACCCACTTCGACGGCTTGACCTACATACAACATCGTCACCCAACGAGCCCGAGGCAACAGACCGACCGCGGCCCCTCGAAATAGTCCCGAGCGATACTACATCCCCACGAACCGCTCACTACCGCCACGATGCCTGAAGTAGTGGATCCCCGCATGATTTCGGTGACGCCCAGGATACGATACAACACCATCGGCGGCGTGAACGGTCCTCTGGTCATTCTCGACAACGTATGTGGCTTGCGCATAGTACCGACGCATGACAAGGAGCTTATACGTGTGTTGGACAGGTCAAATTCCCGCGATACAATGAGATTGTGTCCTTGACTCTGCCTGATGGCACCGAGCGCTCTGGCCAAGTCCTCGAGGCTCGAGGTAAGCTGCCCACACTCTTGACTTTGTCGAGAAGATATTGACACAAGCTACAGGCAACCGCGCCGTCGTTCAGGTATAGCCCTTCGTACAGAAGCTTTGCGACAGCCTTTTCTGACTGCGACACAGGTCTTCGAGGGTACATCCGGTATCGATGTGAAGAAGGTGCTTATGCCCCAAACCATGGCGAGAATGTTATCTGACTATCGCAGACCAAAGTCGAATTCACTGGTCACAGCTTGAAGCTCGGTGTGTCCGAGGATATGCTGGGTCGTATCTTCGATGGTTCAGGAAAGCCCATCGACAAGGGTCCCAAGGTGCTTGCTGAGGACTACCTCGACATCAACGGTAGTCCCATCAACCCTTATTCTCGAGTACGCACCTAGCGAGTCTTGTCTGCCGGGCTATGCGACTAACCTTAGCTAGGTCTACCCCGAAGAAATGATCTCTACTGGTATCTCTGCCATTGACACGATGAACTCGATCGCTCGTGGTCAGAAGATTCCCATCTTCTCCTCCTCCGGTCTTCCCCACAACGAAATCGCCGCGCAGATCTGTAGACAAGCTGGTCTGGTTGGCAAGCCTACCAAGGGCGTACACGACGACCATGACGACAACTTCTCCATTGTCTTCGGTGCCATGGGTGTCAACTTGGAGACCAGTCGATTCTTCACTCGCGACTTCGAGGAGAACGGCAGTATGGAGCGTGTCACATTGTTCCTCAACTTGGCAAACGACCCTACGTAAGTGATCGACCATGATACTGCTTGCGCCAACTAACCCGGTCTAGGATCGAACGTATCATCACTCCTCGTCTCGCTCTCACGACCGCCGAATACTACGCCTACCAGCTCGAGAAGCACGTTCTGGTCATTCTTACTGACCTGTCGTCTTACTGCGATGCGCTACGTGAGGTCTCTGCTGCCCGAGAGGAGGTTCCTGGACGTCGTGGTTACCCTGGTTACATGTACACGGATTTGTCCACCATTTACGAGCGTGCGGGACGTGTCGAAGGCCGTAACGGATCTATCACACAGATTCCCATCTTGACTATGCCCAACGACGGTATGTGATGTGAATCCTTGGGCAATTTTACATACTGACAATGACAGACATCACACACCCCATTCCCGACTTGACTGGTTACATTACCGAGGGTCAGATCTTTATTGATCGTCAACTCGACAACAAGGGTATCTATCCTCCCATCAACGTCCTCCCATCGCTTTCCCGTCTCATGAAGTCTGCCATTGGCGAGGGTCGCACACGAAAAGACCACGGTGATGTGTCCAACCAGCTGTACGCAAAGTATGCCATTGGTCGTGATGCCGCAGCCATGAAGGCAGTCGTCGGAGAGGAAGCACTGTCTTCGGAAGACAAGCTGTCTCTCGAGTTCCTTGAGAAGTTTGAGCGCTCTTTCATTGCTCAGGGTGCTTACGAGTCTCGCTCCATCCACGAGTCCCTTGACCTGGCATGGTCGCTGCTCCGTATTTACCCCAAGGAGCTTCTCAACCGTATTCCATCCAAGGTTCTTGACCAATACTACCAGAGGAGTCGGGGGGGTGCCGACGGTGACAAGAAGAAGAGCAACAAGGACACCAAGGACAACTCTACTGAGGGACAGCAGGGCGAGAACTTAATCGATGTGTAAACGAGTAGTGTTGCATGTATTTGAATCGAGGATAAAGGTGTCTGTGGCCTTGTTCGCTAAGCGTCCAAGAGGTTTTGAGATACTGCATTAAGTACAAATGAATTTGCTGAAATTGCGCCCACCTTCGTGCTTCGTCTTGAAATCAAGTATCTGGTCTCAATGATGTTCTTAGAGGGAATACTTTGTGCTCTCTCTAAATGGCTTCATTTTATCATTCCATGCAGCGAAGCGCACTGCACCTGATATCAAGAACGAAGAAGCTCATCTAAATGTCTCGTCACTACAAACAGGGCATGAAAATTTGCACTTTCACTGTCTAGTGACTTGACGCTAGAAGACTACTTGATCCTCGCCGTACATTTTTCCAGTCGCTCACGGATATGCTGACCTGGCTTCAGTGGGACATTGAGATGATTTATGATGGCGTCCAGTGGCCTATAAGCATACACTAGCCGCTGGAATCATCGCTTCAGAGCTGCAAACCGTAATGAAGGCCTCAAGGCCTTCGCCCACTGATCAGTGGAAGGCTGTTGTTGATAAAGCCGCATGTTCGTCTCCTTCACCTAGAGCCCGCATCTGCAGGCATGATCACCCCGTGACACGCGCTCCTCATCGATCACCGCGAACGTCCGTTTGCTTCGTTTCACGCTAGTAGCCATGATAACAGTGTAGAACTCGTGATAAATATAATGTCTTGATCAAGTCTACCACGAACCTTACCACCAATTGTCAACCGCAACAAGATAGCTTCGCGCTACGAAACGTTTCCTTGCTGCTTCTGCTGAAGACTACTACTGACTAGGTGTCACTTCTGCTGCTGCTGCTACTGCTGCCACTACCACCACCACATGATGCCCTCAGATATCTGGGTGTCGTGGCTTGGAGAGTTCCAAGCAAAATGGAGAGAACGGTAAGTGGTTTTTCAGCGGCCACCACCGCATTGTTTTGAGCGACCCATTTTGGGTTTTTCAGTTGCTTTTGCACTGAGGTGTGGGATGAGGGAACCATGGCGACAACTACATGGTGGGCGATTGGGTGGTGGCATGCCACAGGGCGCTGGAAGAGATGGACAACATGCCACTGAGTGGTGGGATACATACATCCATCAGTCGGTGGATACTACGAGTAAGTTTTCCTCGAGTCCGAACACAAGGCGTCACTGGCAAGTCGACTGACCTGGTTGCTAGGTTGCACTCAGTCTCAGCCTCGACTGGCAGCCTCGACTTCGAATACACGAATACGACGTCCCGTGTACCTTCGACTTGAGCAGCAATCGAGTACACCAGCCAGGATCAATTCACCGAGACGTCTGCGCAATTACGATAACAGAGCCTGAATGCCATGGGAAGTAGAATTGGCTTTGCATGGGTTGCTACTTGAGATTTTGAAGAATACAAGCTAATTTGAATAAGGGGAGAGAAATGCTACGGCATCCATTTTTCTCGTCACATATCCCGAGAGGAATGTGACAAGATCCACAAGGTGCTCTGTGAGCGCCGAGACGACGCCTCAGTGATCGACCAGTTCGCATTCGGACTGAGCGATCCGACTCACTTTCCGGAGAACGTGATAGGCACCCTCGTATATGTCAGCAAGGGCTGGCATGCCGAGGAGCAGCAACCCCATTTCACAGTGGAGCTGCACTACGTCTACGAGTGGTAAGTTGTCCTTGAAGCGCATCCATGCATGTGTGGACTTTGATGATAAACTGGGCTAACTAGTCAATAGGGCCTGGAATTCTCATGTGGCCACTTGCCACGTCTACGAAGACTTTTCAGAGTCTGTAGAGTGGAAAGCAGATGCGAGACATCTGCGGCAGTACAAGCAGTGGCGTGCGACGCGCTATGGGGTGTGGGACGTAAGTGCTAACTGACGACTGAGAGAAGAAGAATTAGCAAAATGGCTGACTTCTGCACAGAAAAGGCAACCATTCCCCAGTAACATACCTGAGCCGCCTGGCACATCTCTCTCCACAGATCAGATGCCAGAACCATCTCAGCCTCCGGTGCGTTGTTTCTCCTCTTCTTACAAGGGGCTTCATTGGCCTTGAGTTCATTCTCTTGCACGCAATCCATCGACTACGGGTGCCTCGAGTCAAGCTCTTTTACCACATTCATCTTCATTTACATGCGCTAATAATTCTTTACAGCGCTCTCATGCACCTACGCCGGCGACGACGACGACGATGAGGACAACGGTGCCGCCCCGTGCACCTTCTCCTCCTCCTCCTCTGTCCGTTCCAGCCTTCGGGCACCTCGTACCCCTCCCTCGCCCTTCATGACATTCTCAGTTTGTGTATAGAATCCTCCGAAAAGTCTCCACATTCTCTGTCGCAAGCCTTCAAACGGTTGCTCGCCTGGCCTTGGGTTCATCGGGTCCTTTCTGAAGTCGTGGAACAAGACACCGTAGACTACAATGAAACTGATCAAACTCCATTGCACTATCTTTGTCCATTTGTTCCACTCAGGGCGTATAGACTTGAGCTTGATGCGTCGCTTGAATTTGCGCTCGAACCGGAATTGCTGCTTTTCTGTCAAAGCGCGGAGGTTCGGCGGCCACTTCTTCTTGACGCGGTACTTGTTGCGCGCAAAGTCAAAGGGTGGGAGTGTATTCTGCTGGCGACCGAGGATGCGATTCAAGATGCGCAGCATGTTCGCTGGCCTTGTCGATGCGACGACAGCGGGAGGACTGCTTGTGTGTTTGATTGGTGTGCGATGCAGATTTTGGGATGTGCCCTGAGTGACGTTCTCTACCGTAGTCAGCACGGTCCGACTCGGCCCCACAAAAACCGTACTCTTGGCATCCCGCACTCGGATTTCCCTTCGCATGACTCCATCGTAACCTGACTTGGCCACGCCACCCCAACAACTTTTTCTTTTCACTTCTTACGTTCTCTAACTCGCCTTCTGGAAAACTGGTCATGGCCGAGACCACAAAATCCAGCGATGCGCCCAAAAGCGCCGTTGCCGCAACGCTCGAGCAACTCAAGCCCCAGGAGGCTGAGTCAAAGACGCTCAAGATTGAGAATACCGATAAGCGCGACACTTTGATTGCAGAAGAGAAGAAGTACCAGAAGTCATGGGAGGAGCAGGGCGTTTTCAACCCGGATGCCCCCTCACTGGACGAGGAGCCGTTCGACACCACCACCCCGGACCAGCTTCATGAGAAGTTCCCCAAGTGGCTCGGCTGCTTCGCATACCCGTACATGAATGGTACCCTCCATGCTGGTCATGGCTTTACCGCAAGTAAAGTCGAGTTCACAGCCGGCTGTAGGTGCTACTAAATATATCACGTGCAACACGTTCCCTGACGCTTTGACAGTCCAGAGGATGCTTGGCAAACGAGTTCTGTTCCCACTGGGATGGCATGTCACTGGTATGCCAATCAAGGCATGTGCAGACAAGCTTGTCCGAGAGGTCGAGATGTTCGGAAAGAACTTCGAGCGCTGCCCCGTCGAGGACGTCATTGAGACAGCCGTACCAGAGCCTCCAGCCCCCACACAGGCTGAGACCAAGACCGACATCACCAAGTTCAAAGCTCAGAAAGGCAAAGCGGCCGCTAAGACAGTCAAAACTAAGTACCAATTTCAGATCATGCTCGCTCAGGGCATACCCCTCGAAGAGATTCACAAGTTCTCGGACCCTTACCACTGGATTGAGTTCTTCCCTCCGCTCGCGAAGAAGGACCTCACTGCATTCGGTGCCAGGATAGACTGGAGGCGTCAGTTTGTCACAACCGACGCAAACCCTTACTACGACAGCTTCGTTGCCTGGCAAATGCGACGACTGAAGGCAATGGGCAAGATCATTTTCGCTAAGCGTTACACTGTCTACAGTCCAAAGGATGGCCAAGCCTGCATGGACCACGACAGGCAATCTGGAGAAGGCGTGACAGTGCAGGAGTACACTGCCCTGAAAATGAAAGTGGTCAAGTGGGCCGATTCGGCCAAAGCACACATCAGCGGTGTACCTGAAGGCGCTTCTTGCTACTTTGTGCCCGCTACCCTCCGTCCCGAGACCATGTACGGCCAGACTTCGTGCTTCGTAGGACCCTCAATCAACTACTCTTTGGTCAAGGTCAATGACAACGAGTACTTTATCTTGAGCGAGAGGGCCGCCAGGAATATGGCGTACCAAGGCACCACTGCTAAGTGGGGCGAGTATTCGATCATCGCAACATTCCCCGGTAAGGATGTCGTCGGCACAACCGTCAATGCACCTCTTTCCGTTCACAAGGAGGTCTACATCCTTCCAATGGAGACTGTCAAAGACACCAAGGGTACAGCCGTTGTTACCTGCGTCCCATCGGACTCGCCAGATGATTACATCACGTCATTTGACTTGGCCAAGAAGGCAGATTATTACGGTATCCAGAAGGAATGGGTCAAGTTCGACAACCTCCTTGGTATAATTGAAACCCCATCCTACGGAAACCTCACTGCACAGAAGCTGGTCGAAGAGATGAAGATTCAGTCGCCCAAGGACTCTGCGAAGCTTGCTGAGGCAAAAGAGAAGGCCTACAAGGAAGGCTTCTACAAGGGCAAAATGGTGTACGGCGACTTCAGCGGCAAGCCAGTGGAAGAGGCTAAGCCATTGGTTCGTAAGCAGCTTATCGACATGGGTGTCGCTTTCCCTTACGCCGAACCTGATGGCAAGGTCATCAGCCGCAGTGGTGATGACTGTGTTGCAGCTTTGCTTGACCAGTGGTACATGAACTACGGCACAGCAGCTAACGGCGGAGATGGCGAGTGGGCCGAGAAGGTTCGATCTCATATCGAGGGTGAACTCAACCTGTATTACCCCGAGGCGAAGAACCAGTTCTTGCGAGTTGTCGACTGGCTTGGCATCTGGGCATGCGCTCGATCGTACGGACTGGGAACTAAGGTCCCTTGGGACCCGAGTGTGATGGTCGAGAGTTTGTCTGACAGTACCATCTACCAAGCTTATTACTCGTTCGCGCATCTCCTGCACAAGGACATGTTCGGTAAAGAGCCCGGTCCTCTCGGTGTCAAGCCCGACCAAATCACCGACGAAGCCTGGGACTACGTGTTTGGCCTCCGTGAGCGAAGCGATGTTCCACAGACCACCGTTCCCAAGCAAGCTCTTGAGACCATGCGACGCCATTTCGACTACTGGTACCCGCTCGACCAACGCTCATCGGGCAAGGATCTCATTCAAAACCATCTGACTATGAACCTCTACGTGCACACAGCAATTTTCCCCAAGGAGAACTGGCCACGCAGCTTCCGCGTCAACGGCCACTTGCTGCTTAACGGAGACAAGATGAGCAAGTCTACTGGTAACTTCCTGACCATTGCCGGCGCAGTACAGAAGTTTGGTGCTGATGCCACGCGTCTTGCTCTTGCCGATGCGGGTGATGAGATCTCAGACGCCAACTTCGAGGAGACTGTCGCCAACAGCAACATTCTGAAGCTATTTGAGCTCCGCAAGTGGTGCGAGGACTTGGTCAACGAGGCTATCTACGTTCCTGATGCGACTGCTTACCTGGAGAAGAGGTCGAACGAACGTGTGAAGAACGCAGATGTGATCCAGCGACAGAGTGGTAGCGAGCGCCTGCTATTCGACAAGATGTTCGACAACGAGATGAACGTCCTTGTCCACGAAGCCTTTGCGCACTACTCCAACACATCCTACAAGTTGGCCCTCAAGTCAGCATTCTATGACTTCACCAGTGCGCGCGACTTCTACCGTGAAGCTACCAAGGCGGCAGGAATTGGTATGCACCAAGACCTGGTCAAGAAGTTCATTGAGCTACAGGCCCTTCTCATCACGCCCATCGCACCGCACTGGGCAGAATACATCTGGCTTGAGGTGCTCAAGAACAAGGAGACCATCCAGAACGCTCTCTGGCCAAAGGTCCCCGAGTCTGACGCATCCCTCACAGCAGCCCGCGAATTTGTTCGCACCACACAGACCAACATCACATCAGCAGAAGGCAATGCCATCAAGAAGCTTTCAAAGGGCAAGGCGGCGACTTTTGACCCCAAGAAGGAGAAGAAGATTACCATCTTCTCTGCTCAAGAGTGGCCTGCTTGGCAAAAGAAGTACATTGACATGCTCCGCGACGCCGAGACTATCGACATCAAGGCCATCAGCAAGTCCATCGACAAGTCCGAGTCCAAGAAAGCCATGCCTTTTATCAACGGCCTCAAGCGCCGCCTTGACAATGGCGAGCCCAAGGAGGTGGTCTTGAACCGTGAGCTTGCCTTTGATGAGCTGTCAACCCTGCGCGTCATGGTTCCGGGCTTGAAGCAGACTGTGCAGAAGTGCGTTGATGTAGAGATCATCACCGTGTCGGAAGGCGGAAAGGAGGGTACTGTGATCAAGGAAGACGGCAGCAAGGGAGAGACTCGATCGGAGCTGCCGCCTCAGGCTGCGTCTGCGGAGCCTGGCTCCCCCAGCTTCGCTTTCGAGAACGTTGAGAATGTTGCCGTTCGTTAGGGAGTGCGAGGTTGGTGAGATGGGATGGATTCATGCGACACGACATATCATGGCAGGATGGGATGGATGCAACAAGACATGTTTAAGACGACCTTGGTGGGCAATGTATTCACATGACTGACCAAAGTAGAAAGCCCATTACATAGACTCGACGATTACTGCACACACACACACAAAAATCCAAAGAGTACATGTCCACATGGAATTGAATTTCGGCCTTAGTTTTTTGTTCGTGTCATATCTGTTTGTACATGTCTTCTGTCAAGACGGCCAAATGGCTGATTTTGACATTACGAGAGAAAGGAAAACTGTTGTACTCGCTCCAACGCATAGAAAGAAAGAAAGAAAGAAAGAAAGAAATGGATTGCATGCGCGGGCCTTTGATGGCACTCCGCGCCGTCTCTCTATGTCTCGTGCATTACCGCGAGAATGAAAAGCGAAAGAAAAGTAACAACAAAGGAAATTCGTCACGGGAAGGAAAGCGGGTGTAGCCGGGCACAGCCGCACGCGCACCCACGTTCATTACAATGTCTCTCTTTTTTTTTACCACTTGATCTTCTTGTCCTTGCCGATGAACTCGTCGATGATGTCGAGGTAGTAGTCCTTTAGGTCCTCGACCTTGGGGACCTCGTCGCTCTTGCTGTAGAGGTCGTACGGGTTGAAAGCCTTGACGGCGTCGAGCATGCGGTGGTCCTTTTCGTTCATCATCCACTTGTAGGCGCCCTGGGAGTGCCAGGGGTAGAAGGAGTGGTAGCGGATCATGGCGAGGCCCTCGTCGGGGAGGGTCGACTGGTCCTTCATGATGTGGTAGAGGTATTCGTCGTGGCCCCACGACAGCATGACGTTGTCCATGCCGCAGCCGGGCGTGTAGATGCCGTGCTCGGTGCTGTAGATGGCGTCGTTGTAGTCTGGGTTGTTCTTGAATGTGTCGGGGTAGATGATGCGGTCTGAGAAGGCGCAGCCTACGGGGAACGTGTCGCCCACTACGTCCCACTGGCCCTGGGCCTCGTAGAAGAAGAGCAGCTTGCCGAGGTCGTGGATCAGACCCACGAGCTGGAACCAGCGCGGCTTGCCGTCGCGGCGGATGGCCTCGGCCGACTGGAGAAGGTGCTCGATCTGCGAGAGCGAGGTGTCGGGGTCCGACTCGTCAATCAGTGTGTTGAGTTTCTCCATGGCTTCCCAGACGGTCATCTCGGCACGCGTCTTGCTGTGGAACGAGTTGCGGGCCTTGAGGTTGTAGGCCACCGTCTGCTTCTCGTGCTGCTCGCGGTAGAAGTTCTTGACGCGGTCACAGGCCTCCTCGTACTGACGGAACTGTGTCTTGTCCTTGTCGGCGTCGAATTGTGACTGCTCGTAGATGTCCTTTTCCTCCTCTGTCGCAGTGCTGCTGTTCTTTGCCTTGAGCGCGGCCTTGAGGACGTTTACGTCATCAATGGCGTCGGACGTCGCCTCAAGGGCAAGGCCATCGCGGTGGTTGTTGAAGTCCTCAGCCACATTGGGCGTCTCGAAGATTGCGCCTGGTGCCATTGTGAAGGATGTATGTGTGTAGAAGCAACGGGGTATCTCAGAACAAAACCAAAAAGCAGAAAGATGGCTTTGGGGCAGAAACGGGATCTCCAGGTGCGTAGTGCAAAGGTGGGAGAGGGTTGGTGAGCTGTTGGTGGAAAAGCAACGAGGATACACAAGTACTTATTCTCTGGTACCCCCTCGGCACGACGGAACGACGTGGTTCCATAATTAGCAAGAAGCTGGATTACTACCGAGATAGACCCAGAGGAACGCTCGGGGAGACAGAGTTCTCGTGTGCTCCGTCACCCAGGTCCACCCGTGAGTTGAGGAGCGTCCGCAAAAAAGGCCTGGATGGGGTCAAGAGCGATGCATGAGGGAATTCTCGCCGTGCGGCCGACATGGAGTGGAGCTGTCAGAATAAGATCTAAGGGTCCTGGTGGGTCTTGCGGGGATGGTGGATGGATGGTGGTTGGATGTCGTGGATGCATGTGCCACAGTTGGGCGGGAATGTCGTGGTAGTGTGTCATGGCGCAGCCCATGGGGAAGAGGTGCAAGAGGGCCCGCTGGCCACTGCAGACGGCAATTCTCGCCGCGCCTGGACCAGCGGCGCGCTTGTCTGTTTCCGGGCCCCGCATTTGCTTGGAAGAAAACGAGGGCTGATCAGGCGGAAGGGCTGCATGATGACGCCCCGAGCTTCTGCCCCTCCACGCACGTGACCGTCGGCGTGACCTGGCCCGACAGCACCCCCACGACCCGCCTGGCCAAGTCTTCGCACGAGGCTGGAACGCAGGCAGGCCGTGCCAGATGCTTCTGCTCCGCCGCCGGGCCGAAGCTATGCCGGCGGAGTATCTACGAGTACGTATCCATGGCGGGGCAGCATCGGACGTCGGAACGAATTATAGAGTCAATCACAATCGACGTCTGGCCTTTGGCAGCACCGTAAACCTAGATGGCTCGTTTCAGTCTCTGTTTTGCACACAAACAATCGTCTTCTTCACGAGATGAGTTGCCGGTAACGCCGGCTTGCTCTCTACTTACCAGAATCCACTAGCCAACTGCCGAGGCATACCAGTCTGCGAAAATATAGAAAGCTTGGAAACTAGGGAGATAGACGGCGGTATTCATAAGCTTTATATAAACGTTTAGAAGACTATAGCAGAGCGATCATCTATTGCAATATAAAACTCCGTCGCCTAAAGCTCTGGTAGCAGCTAGTGCTATCTCCAGGCCAATGGCTGCCCGAGGTTATTCCCTGTTGGAGTGTCATGCCGAAACTTAGCAACCCCACCAGGACTGCTACATATACCCCATGAATCCTGCTCTTGGAAAACTCATGCTTAAGAGCACACCAAACAGCATTCTCAATCCCCAGCCCGAAATGAACACCGCAATCCCTCTCAACACCGGCGCCACCATCCCCGCCCTTGGCCTGGGAACATGGCAGTCGAAGCCTGGCGAGGTCAAGAACGCCGTCATCCACGCCATTGAGAGCGGCTACAGGCACATTGACTGCGCCTTCTGCTACCAGAACGAGAACGAGGTTGGCGACGCGCTCCAGCATGTCATTTCACGGGGTATTGTGAAGCGAGAGGATCTCTTCATTACCAGCAAGTTGTGGTGCACATTCCACACGCGTGTCGAGGAGGGTCTGCAGAAGAGCCTGGACCTGCTGAAGACACCCTACGTCGACCTGTACCTGGTCCACTGGCCAGTGCCCATGAACCCCAATGGTACGCTCCAAACACCTTGGAGCAATACAGTAAGCTAACACATACAACCACAGGCAACCACCCCCTGTTCCCCATGCTCGAAGACGGCTCCCGCGACCTCGACAAGTCAATCACCCACCAGGACACATGGAAAAACATGGAGAAGCTGATCCAGTCGCACCCTGAAAAGGTCAAGGCCATTGGTGTCGCAAACTACTCTGTCAAGTACTTGGAGAAGCTACTCGCCAAAGCGACCATTGTCCCCGCGGTCAACCAGATCGAGAACCACCCACTGTGCCCCCAGCAAGAAGTCGTCGACTTTTGCAAGGAAAAGGGCATCCACATCACAGCATACAGCCCGCTCGGTAGCACTGGCTCGCCGCTGTTCCAGGACGAGGGTGTCAATGAAGTCGCAAAGAAGCACAACGTCGGACCAGCTGTCGTGCTCCTGAGCTACCACCGTGCGTGTGCTGGAACGGATTTCGCAGTTTTCAATGCTAATTCCCCGCAGTCGCCCGTAACTCTTCCGTCCTCGCAAAGTCGGTCACCCCCTCGCGTATCGATGACAACAAGAACCTCATCTCGCTCGGTGCCGACGACATGGAGAAGCTCGAGAGCATCCACAAGACCAATGGTATCAAGCGTTATGTCTACCCGCCATTTGGTGTCAACATTGGCTTCCCGGACAAGACTGACGGTGTGGACCTCAGCGGTCCTTGACTATTGGAAAAGGGCAAGTTGTAGGGATTTGTTTTGCATAGACTCAAGAGCTATAGATGCTGTGATACGTTATGATTATGATACCACAAAAGTCTTTGATATGAGTTGCACTGTGCCATGAACGTGAAGTGTGTTGACATGTTGAGATTATTATGCTGAGATTTTGCGTGTTTTACAAGTTACATGTGGCTCTCTACCTCCCCATCCATCCTCCGTCAACAGTAAGTATCTCGCCACTGACATAGGCACTCGCAGCACTGGCCAAGAACACGACAGCGCCCTTGAAATCATCTGGGCTTCCCCACCTACCCGCAGGAATTCTGCTCAAGATACTCTCGGCCCTCTTCTCATCCTTGATCAACGCCTCATTCATATCCGTCGCAATGTACCCGGGCGCAATAGCATTTACGCTGATGCCCTTGCTCGCCCATTCGTTCGAAAGTGCTTTGGTAAGCTGGCCGACTGCGCCCTTGGACGCCGCATACGCGGGAACCGTGATACCGCCTTGGAACGTCAAGAGCGACGCTATGTTGATGATGGTACCGCGGCGGCCCAGCGGCAAGTCGGCGGGTTGCGCGAGCATGTGCGCACCGATGCCGCGACATAGCTGGAAGACGCTCGTCAGGTTGACCTGCAATACCTCTTCCCAATCTTCGTCTGGGAATTCGTGCGCGGGGTGGCGTCTTTGGATGCCGGCGCAGTTAACCAGAATATGGATTCTACGGCCGTCCTCGGTGAGTTTGCGAGCCAGTTCCGCCACAGACGACTTGGAACTGAAGTTTGCAGTGCAGATGGAAGCATTGCCGCCGCATTCTTCAATCATGGCCTTAGTTTTTTGATCGGACTCATCGCGCTGGGCTTGCGTGTTAGCATTGATCGAGGTTGAAGGGTGCCGGTATGGAGAGAGGGCCTACTTGTGCAAGAATGATTTCTGCTCCTGCTTCTGCGAGGGCAACGGCCATTGCTTGGCCAATCCCGCGGGTGCCGCCTGTTACGAGGGCAATTTGGCCCTTGAGGGAGAATAGCTCTGTGACGGGCGGTGCCATGGTATCTACTGTTCGTGTCGTGCTTGTGGTTCGGAAAGTGTTGGCGAGGGTGCAGAACTCGAATCCACAATGGTGCGAAGAAAACTCGATAACCTCAGGACTAGGGAAAGCCCTCTTCACACCAAGACAAAGCGAAGTAAGAAAAGTAGGGTGTGTGGGAGAAAACCACGGCGCTCAAACGCTGCCTCATGTCTGGCAGCTCGGAACAGCTTCGGAAACACGACCCCACCTTACTTACTTTGCAAGGTGCTGTAGCGTCGGCATCTGCGGTCCCGCCATTTCAAACGCCGAAGGTGGAAATTTCCCTCAATGCTACTCATGTGCCATGGGGAAATACGCACCGGATATTTGGGCACGTAGTGGAGGCGCAATGACTTGAGTGGTCCTCTGTCTTCTGACTTCCTGACTTCCCATTCTGCTGCAGCCTTCATCCACATCTTATCCAGCTGCTGAGCATCCCTGTCGAGACGCACTACCAGCAATCATTTTCGTCATCTGCATATGTTAGGGCAAGATTAAGAGACTGGAACTATGGCTTCAGAGCAGAGTGCGAGGCAAATCCGTGCCTCGGTTCTGCATGGCGCAAAGGACCTGCGAATCGTATGTTGCAGCATACCTCTTCAATACATGCTCATACTGATTGCATCATAGGAGAACCGCTCGCTTCTCCCGCCGTCCCCAACAGAGCTCCAAATCAGCGTCCGGAGTACTGGTCTCTGCGGCTCTGACCTCCACTACTACCGACACTACCGTAATGGCGACATTATTGTGCGAGAGCCCATGTCACTCGGACACGAATCAGCCGGTGTAGTAGTAGACGTGGGTTCAGAGGTCTCTGGCTTCAAGGTTGGAGACAAGGTTGCGCTGGAAGTAGGGCAGCCCTGTGAGAATTGCGACCGGTGCAAAGAAGGGCGGTACAATATCTGCAAGGGCATGAAGTTCAGAAGCAGTGCAAAGGCTTTCCCTCATGCACAGGGAACACTGCAGGATCGCATCAACCATCCCGCTGCATGGTGTCACAAGTGAGTTCGCGGAGACGAGAAAAGACAATACGGATGCTAATGGCGATCAGGCTACCCGACGACGTGTCACTAGATTTAGGTGCCCTGCTCGAGCCTCTAGGCGTAGCCATCCAAGCGTCGAAACGAGCACAGTTAGCGCCAGACTCAACGGTCCTAGTGTTTGGAGCTGGCGCTGTTGGTATTCTTGTCGCAGCCATGGCAAAGATCTCTGGAGCGGGTACCGTGGTGATAGCAGACATTGACGCTGGACGAGTGCAATTCGCGGTAGACAACAAGTTTGCGCATCGGAGCTTTACCGTGCCCATGAAGCGCGGAAACACGATAGAAGAGCAACTCGACATTGCCAAGGAGGTAGCTGCCGAGATTGGCAAGACTACAAAGCAAGGTGGTGGAGAAGTAGGCGAGTTCGATGCCATCTTCGAGTGTACTGGCGTGCCGTCGTGTGTACAGGCATCGATATTCGTAAGTTTCAACCAAGGCCCATGAACAACTCAGTACTGATAGATGTAGGCGACACGACCTGGCGGTAAAGTCCTTCTGATTGGAATGGGCACCCCGATTCAGACTCTCCCCATCTCTGCAGCTGCCCTTCGCGAGGTCGACATCTTGGGCGTCTTCCGATATGCCAACACTTACCCTACTGGCATTGAGGTCGTTTCAAAGAAGGGTGCCGACTATCCCGACTTTTCAAAGCTAGTAACGCACCGATACAGGGGCCTCGAGTCCGCAGTGGAGGCATTCGAGATGGCGGGCAAGACCAAGGATGACAGCGGCAATCTAGTTATCAAGGTTGTACTCGAGACTGGCGAGGAGAACTAGGCAAATGCCGGATTGCTTGTGGTGCTTGAAAAGTTTAGCGTTGGGGACGGTGTAGTGGTGTGATGGTAAGCGTATTCTGTTCATGTCGTAGCGTTGCATGGGGCTTCTGGAGTAGCCCGTGGAGAAATGTACAATCTTTGACAAATTCATTTAGTTTGCAATAGTATCTCCATATAGAAAACAAGATAAGTTGACAGATGCGGGGAAGTACCCTGATACCATTGTTGCGGCATGTGGAGGGCTGCTTACACTTGGCAAACTTACTTTTTTCACCCCAACGCCCCGGATTCTCCTGAGTCGTGGGCTCCGCTTGTACCCAAGCCCAGGATCCACATCATTTCGGGAGAGTACGCGATTGTGCTGCTGCATGGTGTTTTCGTTGAGCGGGCAAAGTTAGCCAAAGCGGACCGAATGAGGATATTTTCCCCGTTGCGCAAACACCCAATACTATGCCATGCCTGATGCGATACGGCTCCACGCGTTCCCCACACGTTCGTCAACCGTCTGTGTAGTTCGACACCACAAGAGTCGGTTCCGCGCATCGCTCTTGTCCACCCGCGCTGATAATCCGATCAAACGTGGCATAGGGCTGCCTGGCATGCGGCAACTCGGCGGATCATACGGGAGATTACCAAATAGCGTCGCGGGGTCTGGGGAATGTCGTAGACAGAAGACCCTTGCGTGCTTCACTGGACGAAACAGTAGTATGTGAAAGAGATGGGATATGAGCCTCTTTGATTTCCTGTCGTAAGGCCTACGTAGTTTGGACCGTGAAAGAAGCTTTGACCAACATCATGTTGTGCCCTGAGAGTCGGTATTCCCGTAGGGGCTCAGTCCAGTTCACACATACACAGAAGTAGCTGACTGCAAAGGGCTCTTCTGCCATCCGCATCCTCTTTCTCATCTGTGATATCCACTTCTCATCATCTCCGTACCGAAGAGCACCCACAATGGCTCCCGCAATCCGCAGACTCCGCATCGCAGTCTCAGGCCTTGGCCGCATGGGCGCCCGCCACGCAAACCACTTTCTTCACCGCACGCCCAAGGCTGAGCTCGTAGCAGCATTCACACCGGCTGAGAATGAGGTTGTGTGGGCAAAGGAGAATCTCGAGCCATGGGGTGTCAAGATCTACACCGATTACGACGAGATGCTGAAGCACGAGGGCCTTGAGGCTGTCTGCATCGCCACCGTCACCACCGTCCATGCAGAGCACACCATCAAGGCAATTGAAGCCGGCAAGCATGTTTTGTGCGAGAAGCCGCTCAGCACGAAGTTGGAAGAGGTATGTGTTCCTTCGCATCGTTGGCTATCGAGACAGAGCTGATAGTAAAGCCTAGTGCTACCAAATTCTTGAGACCGCAAAACGCAACCCTCATATCAAGGTCATGTGTGGCTTCTCACGCCGCTTTGACTCGTCATACTTGAATGCCTACGACCTGACCCTGAAGGGCAATATTGGGCGTCCCACGGTCGTGCGATCGCAGACATGCGACAAGTACGTTACGCCCCTATAGCCCTCACACCACCTTCACTAACACAACATCCCGCAGATATGACCCCTCTGGCTTCTTCGTGGCCTACGCTGAGTTCTCCGGTGGCATCTTCGTAGACTGCAACATCCACGATATCGACCTCGCCCTGTGGTACTTTTCCGCTGATTCCAAGGGCAAGGTCCTGCCAATGGTCAAGTCGGTCATGGCCGTAGGCGTCACGGCACTCGAGCCCGACCTAGCCAAGCACGGCGATGTAGACAACGGTGTGGGTGTTGTTGAGTTCCACTCTAGCCAAATCGCCTACTTTTACAGTTCGCGCATGAACGCCCCTGGCCAGCACGACATGACGGAGATTATCGGTACAAAGGGCAAACTCGTAGTCAACTCGAACCCAACCACGGGGCTGCTGGAGAACCATTCCGACACGGGAGTCAACAGGGAAATCCCACAAAATTACTACGAGCGCTTCGAGCAGGCGTTTGTCGAAGAGGCTAGACAGTTTACGGCCGTTGTCCTGGACAACGAAGAAATGCCAGTCGACCTTGTCAGCTCCATGGAAGCGGTCAAAATTGGTGTTGCACTGCAGGAAAGCTTGAGGACAGGCAAGAAGATCTTCTTTGATCAGCAAGGAAACAAGATGGACGATGCAAGGGCAAGGTTGTAGAGACTGTGTCGATTCGTCGGGAGTATCACTTCTGATACTAGAAAGCGTTGATGTCAACACGGGCATAGCATAGTGCATTTCAAAATTTTGGCTAAAAGTAAATTTAATGAGTCTAATTTTTAATTGAAGGTCTAGCAGAGCATGCTGTTGTTGTGCCTTTCTATTGGAACATGATCGAGAGTCAAGATCGCATCGAATGGATTCCATTTGAAAATTCTTGTTGAGGAGCCGTAGGGAGAACGGCACGCTGACCGTAATAACATGAGTAGATGTTGAGATGTGCCAAGGGCATGCGTTCGTCAAGAGAGTCATTCTTAATACGAGGTACCAAAATTCAACCTTTGCATATATAAACATCTGCTTCCTATATCTATAATGCTTCCTCGCTTGGGCTACATGGGTCAGACTACCCCTTAATATGGAGGAGCTGTTTACACAGAGTCACAGCGTCAATGCCATTAACATTGTCTATATCTAGGACCCCAATGCTCAGTTCAGACTTCATATCCCGAACAGTCTGAAGGAATCCAATTACCGTAACTTGGTAAAGTTCCGCAGTCTAGGCATCATCCGGCATTCACAAAACAATGGCCGCTGGGGAGAACATCGACTTGCCTGATTCTAGCGTACCTTTGTCGATATGTTCCAAGATGCGAGATGCTTGCCGAATCTTACTAGTAACAACTAAAGTAGCGCATATGCGCACAACCAAGGGGAAAGATCTAGAGTCTGGCATTCAAGATCCAGCGAAGCCGTTTTGCTTGAATATACAGCATATAATTGCTTCTGCCAGTAAGTCGAGCTTAAACACATTGATCACTCAATTCTCTAATCCAGCTAATCTGCATCAATTTGAGTTTCACATTGGAGGTACTCTATCGCTAGTTATACTTACCTTTCCATTCTGCATATCTTGTCGTGTGAGATTCTAGATTTCTATACCTCGGCACATCAAGTATAACAAAAGAGGCAGACACCAACAGTAGCTTTGTGAATAAAAACTTGCGTCAATCCATGTTCTGGCGGGCAAGGCATATGGGCTGCTATAAGTGATGACAGCAGACTATATGGCGATGTTTAGCCTCCATCACGATGGACTCAGCGACCCACATACGAATGCCATTCACGGGATCCTCATAATGGAAGAGCTCTGAATCGACGACTGTAGGGTTTGTAGAAAGTCCCTCATAACATGGTAAGTTCATTACGATGTTGCAAGAACTGATATCCCAGTGTACTACTTTCTTCATCCATGAAAGGGTGCCTAAAAACTCTATCAAACATTTAATATTGGCCGCAGCAGAGAATAATAAACCTAACAGCTTGATTTCCTATACCTCGACGACGGAGAACGTGAAATTCAAAGATTGATTTTTTTTCTTCCAGTATTACTGTATCAGAAATGGCCATGGCGCCGGGTTTAAAGAGAGCGGTGATTCCAGGGAATGCCGCAAACTGAATCTTCTATTGCACCGTCGTCCCACATATATCAGATTGTATATTGAATATGGGAGAATGCTACGACCGACTAGATCAAGACCTTTTGTTTTTCAGGTAATAAGTCTTTACAGCTGGGTTTGTGGCAAGGGAGTGGCGCTACGCAGTCGTTCGACAGTAAGCAAATACCACATGACATAACCACGTGACCAAAGACTAGCGCATCCGTGTATCGACATCAGGACCTGACAAATGTGTTTACCAAAGTCTTGCGATAGACAAAAAAACAAGCTCTATGGCGTCTCTTACTTACATTACTCGCTGCCACACTATCTCATGCCCCCCCGCCATGCGCGGCCCAGCCACCCCCGCGGCCGCAAGGATGATGCCTCGAGAAAAGCAAGAACAAGCACGACCACGACAGCAGACAGGAATAAGAAAAGGCTTGATTGATTGAACATGTGGGCCTAGATGTATCCGGTCAGTCTCCCAGCCCCCCCCCCTCTACCCTTCCCTTGCTTCGCATGCCATGGCATGGCATGGCATGCACCCAGCCTCCTCGGAACAGCATACAGACACGTACGCAGGCACGCAAATGTCAGGGCTGAGGATCTGTAATGTATGCATGTATGTATGTATGTATGTAAGCAAAAGCACATCTCCTCCTCTGGTTCCTCTGCTTCTGCTAGCAGCAGCAACGGTGCCGACGTTACCTCTACTGTTGCCGTCATTGTCTCGTCTGCCACCTCTGCCGCGGGCTCTGCTGCCTCTTCTGTCCGCTCCTCCATGACCTCCATGGCCAGCTCGGCTGCGTCCGAGGCCGCGAGCCTCACCTCTTCCATCATGTCCGATGCCAACTCTGCTCTTTCCTCCCTCTCCTCCGAGGCCAGCGAAATCATGTAAGTCTACACTTGTATCATGTGCCTGGATGCCCAAACTAACATTTGCCCAGGGCATCCGCCTCTTCTGCCATCTCCTCTGCTACTGAGAGCGCTGCGAGCGCTGCCGAGAGCGCTACCGGCTCTGGTTCCGAGGCTAGCGGCACTGCTACCAACAGCGAGGGCGCCGCTCCCAGGGTCACTGGCTTGTCCTTTGCCGCTGGTGCTGGTATGGCCGCCTGGCTCCTCCTCTAAGCGCCTCACCTCAATGGCTTTTCCAAGGTCCTCGCCCGGTGGATTAATATGTGTAATGATTGGAAGTTATGAGCGGATAATGCGAGGGGTGGGCTTTGGATAGTTTGGTGGATGGCCATGTTTCTCCCTAACGAACACTCACGAGACGGCATGATGATTATGACCAACTCATTTGCCTGGGAAAGTTTTGCGAGCATGCGATTTGATACCCCGACGCGGGACTCGTGCGACGGGCCCTTAATAACGGCACTTGTAGATAGCACTCCAATGATAATACTTGTTAAAGATTTTTTCTTCTTACCATCTCTTGTGTGCTTCTTTTAATTGCTGCTCGTCCATTGGTGACTGCGAGTGTTGCCACGTACTGTTGCGCAGCGTTTCGTACAAGGTCCTTGTGCGTCTGTACCCGCACAGTGCGACGCTGCCACGGGGTGTTTTGCACAAGTTGCATACTACCATGTCTGTCGTACGCCAGAGTCTGCATATCTGAAAACACAAGTCAATAAACCGTTGTGTCAGTATGCGACACAGTACGGGGGTGCAGCATGGACATGAAGTGAAGTCAAGTTAAACGTCTTACGACACAGCCTCATGAGGGGGGATAGCACCACCCCCCCCCTAGCACGTGCTACCCTTATCTCCGCAGCATCCCCCCCTCCTCCCACGTCGCATCGCATCACATTGCTCGTGCGTTACTAAGCATTTATCTCAGTGGCACTAGCAACAGCCGAGGTGAGGATGGGGAGGGCGTCGGGAGTGTTGGAGGCAGTGGCAGCAACACCAGCGCAGCGAGCGTAGGCCCACTGCACGGCATCGGCGGATTGGGCGGCATCACAGGCCTGGCGCGAGCAGTCACGGATACCAAAGGCCCAGTTGGAGCGGGTGCAGAAGCACGAGATGTCGTCGGAGCCGCACTGGAGCTGCGTCTCGGCGATGCGGGCCATGTTGTTGATGCAGAGCATCTAGGCGCGAGTTAGCGGGCTGCAGGTGAGAGACAGACACAGGGGGACGGCTTACAGCGCAGTCTCCGCTGGGCATGGGGAGCTCCTGGGCCATGGCGGCACCAGCAAAGGTGGCAGCGAGAACAGCGAAAGACTTCATCTTGGGCGTAGGTGGGGCGAGGATGCTGTGGTAGAAGCTGGGATAGACTATTAAGGAATTGGAACAAGTAGACGAGTCTCTGTGAGGCTGAGGCTGAGGATGCTGGTGTGAGGGAGGAAGCAAGCAGCTGGGGGCGTGACTGGGGTTTATATCTGGGCGGCGCAAAGCGTCGGGGCTGGGGCGTGGCTGGTTGGAGAAGGGACAGCTTTGCGCCAGCCTGCCTTCACCCTGCCTTGGCCTGGCGATGGCAGCAGCAGCGGCGACAGCAGCGGCAGCAGGCTAGCGCGCGCGGGCAGGCAGGGATGACGGCCCCAGCGCCAGGGACGCCGACCCACGATCGACGTCAATCCAAGGCATTTGGAGGGCACCGCGGACACACGGGCCGCGCGCTGGCCGGGGCGCGGGACGCTCCTTCCCTATGATGTATACTGCAGGAGCGATGCCAACCAACGCCCAGCGGCCGAGTTCCGAGTTGCTGCATGGTGCATTGTGGTGCATGTGTGTACACCTCACCTCGCCTCGCAACTACTGTATACAGGCTGTCATGGCAACCCGCTGCGGTAGTACCCGGCCAGCGTCACCCAGCCCACCCAGCCCACCCTGCCCACTCTGCCCACTCTGCCCACTACAGTGATAGTATGCCAATGCGGCACAAGTCACACTCGTCATGGCAGCCACCGCCATCACCGCCAAATTACTCAAATCTTGTTTGCACGCCCGCTGCCCCAATCACGCCTGACGTCGCCGCCGCCCTCGCACACACTCTGCACTCACACACTCTGCACTCACACACTCTGCACTCACACACTCTGCACTCACACACTCTGCACTCACACACTCTGCACTCACACACTCACTTACTCACGCATACACACATACACCCACACGACGTGCTACTTTGGTCAATCTCGCTTCCCCGCCAATCAAGCGTGCTGAGATCTAAGCGCCCCCATCGTGGCCCACCAGCCAGTCACCTCCTGCCACTGCCACTGCCACTGCCACTACCGCTACCGCTACCGCTACTGCTAGTTGTGGCGCAGTCTGGCCAGCCTCGTCCAACCACCTGCCCCTCGCTGCGCCGCCCTGCACGGCCGCACCCGCCTCCTCCTATGCGCCTGCGCCCTCCTGCTCCTCCTCTTGCTCTGCCAGGTGCTTCTCTTCTGCCGACGTGATACAATGCGTGTTTGCGCCTGTGCCACCCACCATCAGCTCCCTCTCCTCTCGCCGCCGCCGCCGCCGCCAAACGACGCTGGAAAGGGGGTCCTAGACTCACCTAGCTTGTTGATCGTCTCCATCCATTCATCGTACGGATCCGAGTCGAACACTATGCCTCCCTGTGACCGACTGTTAGCCCTGACTCGAGTAGCCCAAAGCAGGGAATTTCTTTGACCTTACCCCTGCTTGGAGATAGGCGATGCCGTCTTTGACCAGCATCGTCCTTAGCGCAATGCAAGTCTGCACACATCAGCCTCTGTCCGCTCTCCACCACCTACTCGACGCTACTCACGTCCATGGCGCCCTCGACCTCCTTGTCGCCGTCAACACTGCCGTAGCCAAAGTAGCCCACGGCGCCGGCGTACACACCGCGCTTCTCCTTCTCGAGCTCGCCGATGAGTTCCATGGCGCGAACTTTGGGCGCTCCGCTCACCGTTCCTTGCAATCCCTTAGCCAAAATTTCAAGTTTTTTTTTCTGTGCCGTCCTAGCGCCACTCACCGGCGGGAAATATCGAGCGGAACGCGTCGAATCGCGTCTTGCCAGGTCGCAGCACCCCAGAAACCTCGGACACCAGGTGCTGCACGTGCGAAAACTGGTTTGCACGCCGATTAGCATCGTCATTCCTCTAGACTCCGTTGCATGGCCTGATTCACGGTTAACTCGGTACACGCGGAATGCTTACCTTTTGCACAACCATCAGCTTGTCCACCCGCGTGGTAAGTGGGTCGCACACGCGATTGACGTCATTACGAGCCAAGTCGACCAGCATGACCTAGCAAAACAAACGTGAGCTTCAACGGTCCCGCATGCACTTTGTCGTCAAGAAACCCACATGTTCAGCCCGATCCTTCAGTGACCGGGATAGCTCGTCTGCAAGTGCTGCATCCTCTTGCAGCGTTTTACCCCGCTTGACTGTCCCAGCAATGGGATGCGTGATGATGCGACCCTGCTCCTGCTTGACCAGCAGCTCGGGACTTGCCCCTACAATCTGGAACGCGTCAAAATCCACAAAGAACAGGTATGGCGACGGGTTGACGTTTCGTAGGTTCCTGTAAATGTTGAATGGGTGCAGTGAGGTCGGCCTTGCAAATCGTTGCGATGGCACTGCCTGGATGATGTCGCCAACCCCAATGTGCTTCTTCAGCTCCCTGACGTGGCTCTCGTACCCCTCTTGGCCAATGTTGGACGTATACTGGTTGCCCCGTTGAATAGGCCCCTGCTTTGGTAGTGGAATGTCCTTGTCCTTCAATATCGTCACATATCTCTTGAGAATGCTCTTGGCGTCTTCGTACGCCTCCTCGAGCCTGTCAAGGCTTTCGGGCACCTTGACATATGTGATGACCTTGACAACCTGCGCAAAATGATCCAATGCTATGAGCGTGTCAAAGAGCATAAAAAAGCTCTCTGGTACGCCTAGCACATCCTTCACGTCGTCTCGTCGAGTTTTGGGCTCAAAGTATTTGACACAGTCATATCCAACGTATCCGAACGCACCGCCCGTCATCGGAGGTAGTTGTATCGAGGGCACCGTCGCGACGCGGCTCTTTGCAAGTTCCGCCTCGAGGAGGGGCAATGGGTCCGTCTCTTCGCCATGGCCGGGGCCCGTCTTGATGACTTTGCGCGGGTCTAGAAGCTTCTTGTTAGCTGCTCTCCCAGGAAATCGTATCCTCAAGTACCGACCTGCACCAACAAAGCTGTACCGTCCTATCGTCTCGGTAGTCCCAGCGCTCTCAAAAAGGAACGACAGCCTTGATTCCGATCTGAGCCAAGAGAGTCAGCACGGATGCCACCCAAGCCCATTCCCAACAGCTACTCTGTCTGATTCACCGCTCCTCTACCCCACCCCTCCCTTGCCATCTATTTATGCTGCCGTTTCTCATAGTGCCCGCCTGGGACATCAGCATGAGTCACACCTACTTTGCGGAGATCTTCAGGTATATGCTCGACGGCGTCAGGAACTCGGCGGGGATCGAGGAGAATACAGGAACCAGGTTCGGCGGATTGGGAGACTTGACGGCTGCAGCCAATACCTCTCGAACAGTGTCGAGCGACGGCTGAATACCTAGCTGCTGTGGTCATGCGCTCAGTTCGGTGTCGCTTGATTGGCTTGGTTGCAGACATACCTGTGGTGCCATGGCTGCTAGAAACTCGGAGGTACGCTATGGAATCCTAAACTATTTACAACGAGAAGCGTGTATGGGCCAGAGAGGGTCGTCGCAAAAGAGTACAGAAGACACAATTGATGATGGGCCGGCCAATCGGAACGGCCAATATTTCGAAGCAAATTGCTATCGATAGACCCTCGAGCCACCCCACTTCGCGATTAGCGCCGCGCACGTCACAAGCGCTGACCTTCTCTCATCCCAGCCTTGGTCAAGCTACCCATCCCACAGCGCACCGCTCCCTTTTGGCTCTCAACACCCCCTGTGAACTCAAGGGAGGCCGCTCATATTTTTTTGGAGAGCGCAAGAAGACGAGGATGTGGCACTCGCGCCGTTGTGACAGCGCCATGGAAATTCCTGGAACTCTAGAGCGGCCATGGACACCGCCAGAGCTGGAAGACCGCTCATACGCTCGCCCGGATCATTTCGACCTATACAGCAACTCGCCATCGCGCTATTCAAGGGCGAAAGAGCAACGCTGGCTGAGGGAGGCGAATCGCGTACACGAACAGCCCCCGTGGGCTGCTGAGACCTTTCAGCCAAAGACTCCCACCATGCCATCGCGACCTAAGCCTACTTCACGTTACACCGAACCGCCTTCGTATCCGTATACACCTACGAGGTCATACTATTTTGACGATGCCTACCCTCCGCCACCGAAAAGCGTGCCACGGTACCCTTACACGCCCGATACCTCCCAGATATTGCGCCGGCATACTGAGTTTCTTGCGTCGCCTACGCCATGGGACGATTATTCGGTGGTTTCTTCGTCGCCTGTACAACATGCGTTATCGTCCTGCATCGCACAGTTTGAGGATTTGATCCAGTCTCAGCAGCCTGATGAAGATCAAATGGAATACATTGTGGGGCAGTTTGAAGCCATGGCGACTCATCTCGCCACTCCCGAACCTCACACGAGGGATGTGGATGAGCAAACTGTCTTAAATTTGGACCACACCCAAGACATTATGCAGACCGAAGGCGACAAGGATGGGCTTGCGGAAGCGAAAAGACTCTATCACCAGGCGTATGTGGCCGAGGTAGACAACTACGTCAAAGGCGTACAAAAGGCCATTCACGATCTCAGGAAACGCCTCGATGAAGTCAAGACACTAAACAGCATTCAGCTAGACGTCATCAATGATCTCCGCATGCAAATGAAAAATGTTCGCCAAAACATGCGGGACGAGCTTAAACGAAGTGGCGGTGAAGACGAATTCAAAATATCCAAGATTGTAGACTTGGACGAAGTACCAGCAGATGCCCAAGGTAGAAAGAAAGAGAAAGAGAAAGACGAATACAACGGCAATGACGGTAATGATAATGAACACTACGACAATGAACCTACCACGAAAGAATTCGGCATGGACAGTTGGCAAACATTGGTAGACGACGAAAACTTTTCCCAGGAAATTCACGAGGAATACGCCAAATTCGTGCGCAGCACCGTAGACAGTCTGACGGCAAAGAATCCCCCTGTTACGCCGACCAAGCGAAAACTGATTACGATCGTACGGACGCCCCCGCGACGCAGCTTTTGGGCCTCGATTGGCGAAGCCCTGGATGCAATGTCCGATTTACTACTTGAAGATTGATGATACATGACGACGACGCAACACGGCCCGTTTCTGTCGACACACACGAATACTTCTTTGAGCCATTTTCAAATTCTTAATTTTTCTCTGCTTGTTTATTTATTTTTTCATGTATTTCGTTTCTTTTTGTGTTTGATTAACTACTTACTTTGTTGGGCCTTCTCTTCTCTTCTCTTCTTCTTCTTCTTCTTCTTCTTCTTCTGCTTCCTTTTCTTCCCTTTTCTTTTTCTTTGTAAATTTGAAAATAATATTTGGATAATCGAGGGGCGCGATCGAACAAACCAACGAGAGAACGAACGAACAGACGAACAAACGACGGGGCTTACGTACCATATGTTGACGACGACGAAGAGACAGCTTGCGGTACCTTTTGAGGCTAAGATATGACCGAGCATGTGCAATGGCGTTTAACCATCTTTTGTCTCTTTGCTTTTTTTTATCAAGCTGACCTGCATTGAGCGTATGTAGTATACCCGAGTATTCAAGTCTAGATATGCGTTCTTTGTTTCTTGCTTCTAGCGTCTTTCGTCTTCTTCAAGTTGCTGCTTTTTTTCCCTTTCTTTTTCTTATATGATTGCGCTTGTTGTTCTACCGTATATGATTTATACTATTTTTCTACCATGAATTTGAAAGTATCGCCTGGAGCAAACGTGAATATTGGATCAATTACACGCGTGTGTAATGTTCAAAGCATGCAAACCAACACATAGGTATCACTTGATTTTGCCGTTCCATCATTTTCACTCGTCATCAAAGACTTTTACTCGACATAGTCCAAACTGCCCTTGCCAACGGTACCCTTGACCGCATCCTCGCCCTTCTGCTGCCTCAGCTTCTCCTCAAACTTGGCAAACTCCTTCATCGCAATTTCTTCCTCCTGGTCCAAGACTTGTTGCACACCCTTGACTTCCTCAATGTAATGCATCAACATACTCTCAATGCCATTCTTCAGCGTCACGGTGCTCGAGTCGCAAGTTCTGCACGCACCGCGCAGCTTGAGCAGAACCTGGCCGTCGTTGAAGCCGCGGAATTCAATATCACCGCCGTCTTCTTGGATGGCGGGGCGCACGCGCGTTTCAAGGAGCTCCTTGATCATGCCGACTACTTCATCATCATTCTCATCGTAGGCCAAGCTGTCAGCTTCTTGGCCGCCTTGACCTTGCTCTCCGGCCTTTGCGGCCACGGTATTCACAATCGGCGCCCCAGATGTCATGCATTCGTTGATGATAGAAAACACCTCGGGCTTGATGTGACTCCAGGGTGTGGCCGAGTCCTTGGTCACGGTGATGTAGTCTGCGCCAAAGAAGACGCTTGTTACGCCGTCAATGTTGAGAAGTTGGGCGGCGAGCGGAGAAGGGTGTGGCGGCGCAAGTGTCGAACGCGGGTTTAGATATTCAAGGAAGGGAGATGATATCGACTCAGGCAGGACTCGTTGGTTGGGGTTGAATTTCAGCGCCTGCGAGTTATGAGTGGGTGAGCAATGTTGTAGCCGGGGCGGGGCGTGCATACGTCGGGGTTTGGTGTTGGCTCGGTCTGGATGAACATTGTTCGCCGCGCAATGGTCGCCGATGGGGCAGCTACCCTTTGGCTCCATGCTTGCGCTGTTGGTCTATGTTGGAGCCTCGATGTTGTTATGGGCGATGATTGTTGGTGCAGGCATCTTGTGGCAACGCGCGGCGCTGAGCTTCGCAGAGGTGTGGCGCGCAAGAGGCTGCGCAAAGCCGGCCGAGGGATTGTGCTTGAGGCCATTTCTAGGATACAATATTAGGTGTCGTGTACGGCAGGGGGCGTAATACTGTCGCAATGCAGCGTGAAGGTCGGAAAGGTTCGCGCCTACTCGGCGAAAACGAAGTATGACGTTCGTTCTTGGATTATTCAGCCAACGCTCACAGGCCCCGCGAAAATACTGTAATCGCGTCTGCTGTCATTGTGCATTTAGTAGCCAACGCTCATCTCAACCCTACCAACGCTTTGTTGGGACTCTCATCGCGCACCATGACGATATCAGAGGTAATTTGTACCATCTGATCTCATCTCATCGAGAAGCGCCACCCCGCTTGTCACTATCCACGTGACCCCGTCAAGCAGCGAACATTGGCAGATCCAATGCACGGGTATACGGCAAAAGGATAATGAAGATAATAGGCTAAGCATAAGGGTATAAGCAATCACTGGTACGCTTCCACTGATCGATCTGTCAAAATGCAGCGTTGCTTTTTTTTTATCATAGTGCTCACTGCCTTGGTCTCATACATTCACGCGCTGAGAGAAAAGTGTTTAGGTTGTTGTCATTAATTATTACGTTGCGTATCCTCTTATCGTACAGTCTCCAGTCGCCTAATCAACTCAGTCGCTAGGTCTTTCCTCCTCCAGTTTCCGTATGTGCGTGGTATAATGCGTCAAGGGTCGTTAAGTACAGGTAAGGAAAAAGCGTGCTGAAAAGCACGATTGCTATCGTTGGAAAGCAACAACAGTATCAACATAGTCGGTGAATCGATTGGTTTAATAGTTGGTGGCAGAGTTTCCGTAGGTAGCAGTGCCACCATTGATGGGATAGCTGCCAGTAGGGGCGGTGTGGTAACCAGAGCCGGCCGGCTTATGGTTGTCGTATCCAGTGTTGGGAGCAGCAACGGTGGAGCCAGTGTAGGCAGTGTCGTTGCTAGGGCGGTAGTCATGAGCGGCAGCTGGGGCAGCGAGTCCACCGCTGGAAGCAGGAACAGCAGCAACCTCAGGGTCGCGGGATCCGGTGGTTCTGTTGGCCTTTCTGCGCTGCCAGAACTTCATACCGGAACCCTTGGTGTATCCGTTCGAAGGGCCAGGGCCAAAGCGCTTCTCCTTCTTGTGGTGGCGCATGAGGAGGACTTGGAGCAGGGCACTGAGCAAGAAGAGGACGGCGGCAATGATAGCGACGGCAAAGCAGGCAGTGTTGAGCTTGCAAATGGTACCAAGAGAGGCAGAGTAGGTAATCTGGTCGCCGCGGCCGTTGGAACCAAATCCCTCTTTGGACCGAGCCGGACCATTGCCAAGAGGAGTCTGGACATTTCCAGAGCATTTGGAGGCACCGTCACGAGTCAGGACGGCAATGGCAATCATGGCACCGCAGCAGAGGATGTCGAAGAGTATGCCAAGAATAGCGAAGATTGTCTATCATCTGGTTAGTGTCTGGCCCTGGATCCAGTCTAGACTTTCTTACCTTTCCGCCAATGCAGCAAGTCAGCAGGACAGCAAGCATAGTGTAGAGAACAACGGCGCCAGAAAGACCCTCGACGGCCTGTTGCCAGACGGGAATGTGGACATCGCGGTCAGCCTGTACGGCTAGGAAGTAACTGTAGATTCCGAGTATAATGGCAGCACAGCAGAACTCGAGCGCATAGAGCGCAGTCGAGCCAAACTTCAAAGCAGCACCACCAAAGCCCATGGTCGCAGTGGGAGTCAGGGGTCAAGGGAGAAGATTCAAAAGCGTGTGTAGGTGTTCAGAGCGTGTGGATGTGGATTGTGAACCAACTAGCGTGTCAGGGCGAAAGGATTTATGTGTGTTGTGAAGATCCATGGGCGATGACGCAGCTGGTCACATGACAGGGTTGCACCGCTGAGGCTGCCTGCCATGTTTTGACATATTGCTGTGCAGATCTGCGGGTCCGTGCATCTAGCCCAAGCCACGGCTAAGACCCTTCGGTCCACCAACGTCATGTTTTCTCCATTCCACCCAACCCACCCAACCCACCGACCAACGAGCGCCGTCCCAGCGTCCGCCCGAGCACTGCGCCGTCGCAAAACCCAATCTTCAACAAGCCTACTGAATTTGTTATGGCGTCGGGGAACCAAGTGGGCGCTTGCTATCATCGCGCGGCGCCTTTGAGCATAATGAGGCATGCTCCGGTGCGGTACCTGGACCTGTTCGACGACGGCAAAGACGGTGACGCCACAAAGCCACACTTGCACAGGGCGGATGGATATCGCGGTGAGGGGGTGTGGAATCTCCCTGCATACACGCGACGTTCGAGGCCCTCAGGAAAGTAGACCGTCCGTCATACCCTTCAGCTGTCCAAAACCTTGGTCCCAGGTTGATATCACGACTGCGTACCACGCGCCTGCATGCCACATCAACATGCTTTTGCCGCGGACGTCTGCTTGTCCAACCAATGCCGGCGCCCGTATCCTCCCCCGCGGACCCAGAGTTGTGGTTTCTTATTCCCTACGTGTGCCTGGCTACCATATCTCCTACCACCCCAAGAAGCTTGCAATTGCTTCCCCGACTTGGTTGGTGGTGTCGTCACAAGTATTGATGATCTTCGCCAGAGACTTTAGCATTGGTGCTGGCGGCGATGTCAAATCACTCAGGCTAATGCCGCTAGAGAGTTTTGCGACTCGTCGTGCCCTATCGCTGCTCCGGCTTAGTGAGCATGTCTACGCTATCTTCACCGTTGAGGGATTTACTTTTTCACGTACCTTTCCTCTAAGCACAAGGTGCATTTTTTCCTGCCCCTGGAAAGCCATGTCGAACTGGACACGTTGGCACGTTGATAAGACTTCAGGGGCTGACTCCACATCTCACAATCACGTACTTAAGCCCAACACTTCCGTCTATGTTAAATTACATGGAGCTCACGCGCCGCATATCGCCAGCGCGACTGTAGGACATCTGCGCGAATCTCATATTCCTTTCATATCGCTATCAGCAGCCAAAGTCGAGCGTTTCACGCAGCCAGTGATCGCTCTGAGAAGTTTGATGAACTTCATATGCGTGTCGTCGCCCTCGTGTGCTGGTTCTTGACAACGATGAAAGGCATCTAGTTGCAATACAGTACTCTTCAGGAGGGTGTTGGGAACAGTCAAAGAATGAAGGCTATGGAGCCGAAGTCGGTGGATTTCAAGAGTCTGTCGTTGCAAAATGCAGTCTCACCATCTCCTGCAACATCCATCCCCCACTTTGCCAGCATCCTGGTAGACGGGAATTCATACACAACATGCAGAAGCATGCGAATATCGCTCAACTTCGGGGGCTCATTACTGGGTAGGCTAGCATATGTAACGTCCAACAAAACGTAGGTAGGTACTACAGTGTGTTACGGTCGTAACGGTGATGACGGCATGTACTACGCGCCGTGTCCATTCAATATCAAGAGTATGCAGCAGTGTACTCGCAATAGCTCCGTCCTGGTCCCAGTTTGTGATGTTAGGTACACTGTTAGTGTCGTTCTTTTACGTGAAAACCGTTGATGTTGAAGAATCCCTCGATGAATGAGGAGCCCATAAACATGTATTTTTTAATTTTCCAAAAATCTAGTCAGCGAGTTGACATATTTCTTATGACATTTTAACGAAGAGTAGTTCGAGTATATCAAGAAGTATTTGGACCTCGTGATGTCACTGTAGAGGATAGCGTTAGGGATGTGTTGAACAACTTGACCATACGCTGAGTTGTGAAAGTACAACAGTGGCTTTGTATCTGCTACAGCGAAAGTTTCCGTCCTGGACAAAAAAAACATGTTTTAAGACATTCGTGCCAACGCCCTAGCGTAAGTTAGAGCAATGATTCTTTTCTGAATTGGTTCTGGTCTTTTTCACGTTGCTTTGCAATCAAGAACAATAGCCTTCATGTTGTTTCGCTCTCAAAACTCGCAACATACGCTTGCACCTGTCCGTGATGGCTTTCCTCTTCGATATCTGTTGATGAAATATCCGACTACTTGATCCCATGCTGTGCTCCAACAAAGGTCGAGTATGTTGGTCTAGGGTTGTAAAATGATCTATCTCTAGCCTCTTCTGCTAGAGACTCTATGTACTCTGACAATAGAGTATTCAATATCTACAAAAAAAATCTAACCTTCCACAGGAATTTCCCACTCTGGTGGATTAGCCCAAACTATGATGTACTTACCTTTGTTTTAGCGAACAGGATTTTAAAACGGGAGGCTGTTAATGTGCTGTTAGAAAAGCAGTAGATCTAACAGAACGTACTTCGAGCGTGAGAAACAGCCTATATATACTCATGGAAGCTATATACGGTACAAATGAAGTTATTACTTGATATGCTACAGCAGCAGTAGTGAGCGCTTGATAGTGATAGAAAAGAAGCTTCATTACAGAGCAGTGTATGATTATGTCTTTTTACGCGAATCAGAGTTGGGTATTACTCAGAAAAAAAATAGATGGACAAATTTGAATAGACTCCCATCACCCGCCGGGTTTGAAAATGGATAGAACAAATAAAGTACGCAGTCCATTGTTCGACTCTTGGCGACCAGAGATTATAAAGCAGTGTATTTGAAAGTGTGAGAGCTAATACACCATCCTGTACGCTTATACAAGTGCTTTTTATCTATATTCATGATTGTCAGACTCCGCATCCAACCATGGCACCCTGGTACATAATCACGGTGCTCTTATGTACTAGAAGGTGGTGTATAAGTACCTCTATATTTGTGTACCTGGCAGGTAATAGGAGCCTGTTCAAGTTTGTCTATGTATAATTAGAAGTGATACTTATCATCCTTTCGCGTAAAAACAGAAAATCATAAGTACCCTTAATCGTCAGTACGGCACTAGCGATCCGTCTCATGAAATACTAGTACTAGTACTACCCCTATCTACTACTCCTAATTATACCATGCTGTTATAATCCGCCTACTCTCGCGATAGGCAATGTCAAGGTCTTGGTGAAGAGGAGCTCGAAACGCAGTAGTGTATATGATAGAAGATAGTAGTGAGGTCCTATACTTAGTACTTTATACAGAGGGGTGACACGAAAAAAACGTCACTCAAAAAGTTGTTATTTTAAAACTTTAATATATAGCTGGAAAAAATAGCTAAAAATAAACGGATTGCAGATCTAGAAAGCCAAGATCTCCTAGTTTGGCATAGTGGGCCCACTGTCTGCTTAGTCAGCAGCCCTGAGCGAACAAAAATCTCCAAACTAGAAGCTTGAATAAATCTAAACTAAATATCTAGATTACTCTATTGTTTTTGTATAAAAAGGTCCAAGTCTAATATATATTATAGATCTATATTTAATATCCAAGCTCTGACTGTTATAGTATACGTTTACTAGTTAGATCACGTGATATATAGAAGAGTCTGATTTTTTAGAGTATATTTATTTCTCGCTAAGAATAGAAGCTAATATTTACTGTACCAGCCCTTAGCTTCTACTACAGCTTGCCAACGCCTAGGTAGAGATAAAATACAATTATCTATATCCTGTTGTGGAATAGCTTGCCACTCTTCAAAAATAGCCCTAGTAAAAGCCGCTATACTCTTCTGGTTATTACCTAAGCCTAAAAAGGATCTAGATCTTTTAGATAAATGGTTTTTAAGTAAACTCCACACATTTTCTATTGGATTAAGATCTGGACTGTAAGGTGGATGAGGGAAGACTTCAATTGAATTTCTTTTAAACCAGCTGAAAACGTTTTCAGTAGTATGCATTCTGAAGTTATCCTGCTGAAACTTCCAGCCTAGATAGTAGTTAGTTATATCTATAATATATCCGAATTTGGGATTTATAACTGTTTAATTAGGTGTGCTAGATTAATTCTTAGATATAAAAATATATATATTACTTACCTGGTTTTATATTAGGCTTTACTTAAGGTATTAAAACCTTACGGATATATTGGTGATTATTG